AACGAGTGAGTATTAAGAAATTTATTACTTATTAATAAAGTTGTTTATTTGTTATGAAATTAATTTTTTATTAATTTGTTTTTTTGCATTTATTAAAGGTCTTGGCGATTACTTCGGGAACGACATATGCCTCAGCTTAAGGCTCGACCGGATTGGGTTGATGTTCCAGGAGTACCCCAACAAGAAGGGAATGTTGATTGTGGTTATTATACAATGCGATATTGTTGGCTCATCGTCAATATCTGTGCGAAATGTTCAGTACCATTATTCGAGGTAAGTTTGTTTTAGTGTTTACGAAAGTAGTGAAGTGTAGGGTAATAATTATTGAACTTTATGTCGTATGTTGTTTGATTTTGCAGGTATTTCAGTCTACTTTGCCTTATACTAGAGCCGAGTTAGAGGAAATTAGAGAGTTTTGGGCCAGGGGTTTTCTCGATGAACTTGTGTAAGTTAGTAGAGTACAATGTAGTTTTAGGATTTAGTTGTATTGTTAAAACTTTGAGCTTGTGTTTCTAGTTATATTCTAAGTGTGTTCATTCTTTTATTAATTATTTTAAATATTAAAATATCGCTCTAAACATCCTCTCTTTATATTCTAAGTGTGTTCATTCTTTTATTAATTATTTTAAATATTTTGGCTATTTTAAGAGCCCTAAATTCCTGATTTCTTTACACACACTTTGAGCTTGTGTTTCTAGTTATATACTCTCATATTCATAAGTTTGTATTGTATTTTTGAGAGAGTATACTTTCCTTCTACACCAGCTAAGTCTTGTTCTTCATTTTTATATTCAAGCCGTTGTGTAGAACCTTTGTTCGTGTTCTTCAAACACATCTTTATACGGTCGAGAATAGCCGTTAAATTCTCATATTGTATCGGTCGAGGATAGCCGTATAAATCCTTGGGTAAAGGTTCAAAGATAGCCTTTGAAATCCTTGGGGGAACGGTAGAAGATAGCCGTTAAATCTTCATTGTAAACGGTTCGAGATAGCCGTGGTGAAATCTCGGAGTGAATCCTATTGGCAAGGGTTGTTTGCTAAACTAGTACGGTGCTTTGACGGAGTTCAAAAGACCGAGACTTAGTGGATTCGGAAATCCTTGAGGAGGAGCCTCGAGGTACTAGAGTAGGGAGTTCCCGAACCAGTATAAATTCGGTGTGCATTTTACTTTACGCTTTTATTTCTGCGTTTTATATATTGCTTCCGCATTTGCCAACACCGTTTTTATCAAACTCCGAAAATATTTAAAACGCCTTATTCACTCCCCCTCTAAGGCGTGAGCACAACGTCTAAACCGACTAACAGTTTCCTTATTCGTCATTTTTGTTACCTATGTGTAGCAAGTAAAACGAACTACGCGCTGAGCTTTCATGCTGTGTGAGATATTCTAACAGTAGAAGTCACACATAGGATTGATTCAACATACATAATCACCTTTAGTATTCCATGCACAAGTAATATCACATAACAACATCAAATAATGTCAACAACGTCATAACATAAAACACATCATGTTACTTACCTTTTTTATTTGGATGCATTAGTTATCAACTCAACATTCATATCTTTATTAAGTTCATCTCTAACAGTCACTCAAAACCTATTCTAGGCTAAGGGTATTAAGTAACGTACTGAGACACAACACATTACAACAAAAGAAGAATTTACCAACAAAGGAGTTCTCCGCTGGGCGGGTGGTACCCTTGTCCCCTTTGGAATGACAGTTTGTGGATCTCGTATGTACCTTTTAACCCACAACCATCAGATATCAGATCTGCAAGGCTGATTCTACCCACTCACAATTACACTTACAATCATATTAAATGTAATACCCTAATCCATGCAGGTTTGCAGCCCCTACTAAAGTATAAACTTGTTAATTGTAAAATTTCAAACATTTCAAACACTTTTATTCATCACAAGAAAATATTTAAATCTGAATTACTACGGAGTTTTTAATGTTGTGAAAGCTTAACAAATCACCATACCAAAACATAATTAATTTATGTCTTCTAAAATAACAATTCAAAACCATCACATCCATCTCAACAATCTAGCCTCTGTCAGTCGCCAGGATTACGTCATATCACTCTTTTTATTCACCTGCGTGTAGCAAATAAAATATACCACGCGCTCAGCGGTGAAGCTGACTAAGGATATCTAATGCATCGAACATACACATAAATTGAATCTCAATTCATAATCAAATCATTTGATATCATGCACATAATATTCAATTCATATATTCAGTATTAATTCATATCAGATCATTTGATATCAACACATACTATTTGATTTAAATGTTCAATATTCATCATATATCAACAGTGTTATTAAACTATTCCTAATCTAAGGCCAAATCATAACATCGCTCTTAAACCTATTCTTAGTCTAAGGCTAATTTCATATTGATAACTGAGCTCTTAAACTTATAATTACTCTAAGAAATATTTCTAACCAGGCTCTTAAACTATATAATAGTTTGAGGCAGAACCCAAGAATCGATGACTCATCCTACGAGTCTTATGAGTCACGCTCAGAACCAAACAACGAACTAGTCATTGTTGGGTTGGGTGGTACCCCAAATGATAGGTACTCCGCTAACATTAACTCACATTGATCTAGCACTAAGCTAAGACATTTATTCCCTTACCCTAAATATCCGACAAGCCCTTCAATCTTTTAACAAAACAAACCATTATGAAAATTATTCGTGAAAAACAATGTCTTCCTTCGATATTACTAATATAATTCATATATACTTACTCATTTATGAAAGTCTTCACTTTTATAGTCTTCCATTCCAAAATAACACTAAATATATGCGGCCACCATAATCAAAGCACAATAAGAATAAGAAGAATAAATTGCAATAGTATTATATTGAAATAAAGAATCAAATTGTAATGTAAATTATAACGACATTGTCCCTAACCTCGTAGGGGGATTTGGCCACAAAACATTATGGACACTATTGGAGTATTTTGTAGATATTGTATTTATTAGATTATTTGTGGTTAAAATGTTTTAAGTACCTATAGAATAGGTAATTAAATTTTGTTTTTTGTCGATGTAAAAAGAATTTTTGTTAAGTCATCCTTAAAAAATCTTTTATTTTGAAAATGGTCTTTAAATGTAGTTAGTACTTCTAATTTGTTAACATAACATATTTATTTTGTACTCATCATCCTATTCCTGTATTTCTAAATATCTTAGGCATAATTCTCATGTCATAGATCGTGCCATTCATCAAATTACATCTCTAATTTCCAAATTTATGTTATACTATATTTTTAAATATTTGGGAACTGAATATGTTATATGAGTAACACAAAATAGGTCATGAGAATTATGTTGTAAGTACTAGAAGTGCAAAGATGGGATGTTTAGTACAAATAAATGTTTTGTTTCAACTAATTTGAAATTCAAATTATGTTTAAAGACCATTTTCAAAATAATTTTTTTTATAAGGACGACTTAAAAAAATTCAAGGACCAAAAATAAATAGGAAAAATTACCCAAAATAATCCCAACTTTACCCGGTCTTTCAAAAATAATCTCACCTTTCACTGTGATGCATAATAATCCCAACTTTCCTGAAATTTTCCAGTTTTGGGTCGCCGTTAAGTTTCTAACGGAGGATTAACGGAAATGCCCATTTTAGGCAACAAAATGAAAGTTAGGATTATTTTTCATGATTTTTCATTTTTTTTGTTTTTTTTAAATTTTTCATTTAAATTTTTTAAATTACATTCTACCTCCATCATCATTTCTTTTTCCTTTTTAAAGATTAGTCTTAGTTTAAAAAATAAAAATAATAGATATAAAAATGAAAAAATGAGAAATGTAACTAAAATGATACAAAAATAATAAAATAAATAAGGTAATCAATGAAAACTAACTTGAAATTGGTAAAAGTAAAATAAAAATATACGGGTGGGTTTTAATATTTTACGCATTATACAAAGTATTAACATATTACTTCTTATTTTTAAAAAAATATTATCTACAATAATTCCAACTTTACCGGACGGCTTGTTCTTTTAAAAAATAAGTTGTACATTAAGACTCCGTATAGTGTATAAAATGTTAAAACCCACCACTCCGTATATATTTATTTTATTTCTTACCAGTTTCTGTTTAATTTCTATTGATTGCATTATTTATTTGATTAATTTTGTATGGTTTTAGTTATTTTTTCATTTTCATTATTTTTTATATCTATTTTTTCTAAGGTAAGAATAATCCTTAAAAGAGAAAAAGAAATGGAGGTTGAAAGTAATTCAAATAAAAATTTCAAAAAAAATTAAAAAACAAAAATTCATCAAAAATAATCCCAACTTTCATTTTGTTACCTAAAACATGCATTTCCGTTAACCCTTCGTTAGAAACTTAACGGCGACCCAAAACTGACAAATTTCAATAAAGTTAGGATTATTATATATCACAGTGAAAGGTGGGATTATTTTTGAAAGACCGGGTAAAGTTGAGATTATTTTGGGTAATTTATCCAAATAAATATCACCTATTTTACAGGGACTAAAAACATAGTTAGCCCTATTATATACTTGATAATTAGTGGCTGGGCCAATAGGTAATCTTTTTAAATATACTGATTCGAGATTAGTCATTTCCCAAAAGTCAACAAGTATACTATTGTTTACTTTTTTTAACAGTACAATTAGTCAATTACTACTAGACGGAGTATAATATATGTGAAATTTGCACTAAATAAGAATAGAACAAAAGTATTTTCTCAATGTAGGACTTAAACTTTTTTATTCCCTAAACTTAATAATGTCTAGTGGGAGGAATAATGTTCAATGATGATGGACATTTACTTGAATAATGACTAATGAATAATGACCAATGGTCGTAAATTAGAAAATAAAAATATATGGTCCTGTATTGATAAAATGTTTTAGTCCAATTTAGGTAAATTCTCTTATATATATTGATATATAACTAGAGTTTACGAAAAGAGACGAATGAGATCGAACGGTATGTCTTTATATTGTCTCGCTAATGTACCGTTTAGGTTTGGGATAAACGAGTTCAGACAAAAAAATTATTAATGGTATATTTTGAAAATGATGCCAAAATATTGTAGGACTGGACAACGGGAACAGGTTTAACACCCACCCTTAGTTTTTACGTATAATGGGCAATGACTTCATATAAAATATCAAATGGAGTTTAAATCTTTCGAGTGAATGTTTTTTCAATTTCTTTAATATTTTTTAGTGTGCGTTTCTTTCACATAATTCATACAAATAATCACATTGCGTCATTGCCTTTCCTTTTTAGTTTTCCATTTCTACACCCAAGGAGTAATAATGATAAAAGTAAATTTTATAATTAATCTTAAATGGAGGTTTTCCAAATTTATCCTCTATTATCAAATATTACATTCGTGATCCTTTGTTTATGGAAACATTTCTACATATACTCCTATGTTTGGCCTTCTATCGTACAGGTGTTAAATTAAAGACTAAAAATTTAATTTCACAAAGACACTACTTCCTTTCATAGCTAGTTGGGATCCAAGCCTGCAACCATGGTCACTTTTGTTGCGCTAATCACAACGATACCAGAATACAAGGCTGAGCCTTAGGTCGATGTGAAATTACGTTTTTTCCCTTAGTTTAACACCAAGAGAATGAAAGGTCAAACAATAGACTTTGTGCAAAGATATCCATATAATATTTAATAATAAAAGACTAAATTTATAAATCCTTATTTTTAAAGGGACGATTATAGAACTAACTCTAATGATAAGATCACTACCTCTCCCAAATGAAAACACATTTTCTTTTGATGGTGTACTAAATTTATTTTTCAATTTAATTTATTTAAAATTAGTTTAGATAATAAAAATATAAATTTACTCTCGAATATACGTTAAGCTTTATATTAGAAAAATAAAATACCAAAATATTTAGATCTTTACGCCAAACAAAGTTAAATTTCATGTTTTTTTAATTCATTTTATTTAAAGATTAGTATAGAAATAAAACTTAAAAATTGCATATTTAAAATATAATCCAAAAGTTCTACAAAAATGACAAGAATAATTTATTTTATCAAATAAGCAATGAAAACACAGAAATAAACAACATGCTACAAGAAATGGACCTATCATTTTTTAGTCCATCTATGAGACTATGACACTTAAAATTATCATCAAAACTAGTTCTTACCCCGTGCTTCGCACGGACTTGGGTTGTATGCGGGTTTGTTGTCTCTAAGAGATACACAAACATTGATCATCCATGAGTTGTAAGTTCGTGGGAGCACAGTGGAAATCACCAATTAAAAGCTATGCAAACAAATTAAATCAACCAACTATGCTGTAGAGAGGATACTGCAGCACTATCACAATAACAGATGATAGATAGTGTGCTATAACACTTCTCTGTCACAAGCACACACATAAGCAGATGATGCAGAGGGCATTACAGTGCCTACTGGGCAGATTGCTGTAACTATAAAATGCGTAAAAAATAACACCAAATATGTTTACGCAGTTCGGAGAACTCTCCTAGTCTGCGGGGCCCACGTCCGGGTAATAGCCCTCCACTAAATCACTAGATGCAAGTTACACCGGTACATAACAACATGATGAGACACTCTTCTCCGAATTGTTATGACAAAACTTCTAATCTAGGATTTCTAACCCGAACTCTGTTCAGATCCGCTTCGGCTATCACATCTCCACCGAGATCATGAGGGCAAACGTGTTGACAGCCCTCTTCTTAAGCTCTTGTCCACCTCCTGGTTGTCACGATCTGTTTTTCATTGTAGGACTCTTTCTTCATGTAGATCGTATCTTTCTTCACGCAAGGGAAGCTCCGGGATGCGACGGGAATGCTCTATCGCTCCAAGTAATTCCCAGGGACCTGCTACGTTTTTATAAGCTTCTCTTAACATAATCCTAGTAATAGAAGTTGGCTTGAACTCAACTTCCTTAATCTTGATCCATAAGTAGCCTAAAGTGTTGGGATTCCTTAGCATGTACAGCTGGAATTATTATCATGTAATCACAATCCCAATAGGTCTCTAATTCAGATTGCAACTTAAAATCCTGTGCTCAGACCTCTGATCCCGCACACTATGTTGCAGCATCGTGATGTAGCATCTTCTATGTCAACCTCGAAAATTGCTGCAGCTCTAGAAGTTTAAATAAAATAAACCTCTCCTAACAAATAGAGGTTTCTACCTAGTAAAACATCTAACAGATACGGGATTCTATTTTTCCAAAAGATTAGCCAACACCATGGAACTAACAATCTCCCCCTTTGGCTATTTTTTTACAAAATACATTGTGCACCATGCGCATAAAAGATTAAATCATCTTTTAAGAACTAAGCCTTTCCCCCCCCCCCCCCTTTTTGACACAAAATATGCCAAATTTATTTAGGGTAAAAGAGAAAAGTAATACCAAGTTCTTTTAAGAGCATACAACAATCACAAGCGCAAAGAAAAAATAAAATCTACCATTACGATCTATGCACGTGCTTCCCATTTGAATCTGCTAGAGCTTCATCCTTTTTTGTAATTTACTCCCCCTCAGGATTTGCATCAATACCACATCTTGCTTCAAAAAGTGTGCTAACTCTTTAAGAGATCACCATGATTGTTTGCAAAGAACCACCCAAAGATCAAGCTAATAACCTAAGCTTAACTGCTCCAATACCAATTATAAGTTCGTGGGGGCGCAGCGGAAATCACCAATTAAAAGCTATGCAAACAAATCAACCAACTGTGCTGCTGAGAAGATACTGCAGCACTATCACTGTAACAGATGACAGACAGTGTGCTACAACACTTCTGTGTCACAAGCACACACAGAAGCAGATGATGCAGAGGGCGTTACAGCGCCTACTGGACAGATTGCTGTAACTATAAAATGCGTAAAAAATAACACCAAATATGTTTACGCAGTTCGGAGAACTCTCCTAGTCTGCGGGGCCCACGTCCGTGTAATAGCCCTCCACTAAATCACTAGATGCAAGTTACACTGGTACATAACAACATGATGAGACACTCTTCTCCGAATTGTTATGACAAAACTTCTAATCTAAGATTTCTAATCCGAACTCTGTTCAGATCCGCTTCGGCTATCACATCTCCACCGAGATCAAGAGGGCAAACGTGTTGACAGCCCTCTTCTTAAGCTCTTGTCCACCTCCTGGTTGTCACGATCTGTTTTTCATTGTAGGACTCCTTCATGTAGATCGTATCTTTCTTCACGCAAGGGAAGCTCCGGGACGCGATGAAAATGCTCTACATCAGCGTATATTCTTTGTTTTTCCTCTCAATCGCTCCAAGTAATTCCTAGGGATCTGCTGCGTTTTTATAAGCTTCTCTTAACATAATCCTAGTAGGAATAGGTTAGTAGAAGTTGGCTTGAACTCAACTTCCTTAATCTTGATCCAAAAGTAGCCTAAAGTGTTAAAATTCCTTAGCATGTACAGCTGGAATTATTATCATGTAATCATAATCCCAATAGGTCTATAATTCAGATTGCAACTTAAAATCCCGTGCTCAGACCTCTGATCCCGCACACTGTGTTGCAGCATCGTGTTGTAGCATCTTCTGTGTCAACCTCGAAAAGTGCAGCAGCTCTAGAAGTCTAAATAAAATAAACCTCTCCTAACAAATAGAGGTTTCTACCTAGTAAGGGGCTGTTTGTTTCAGCCTCTTAATGGTTTAGATGTCTGAATGGTTTAACACTTAATGGTTCAGACTGTTTGTTTCGTGAGCAGATGTCTGAATGGTTCAGACATCTGCCTCTGAATGGTTAAGTATTATACAGAGTCTGAATGGTTAAGACCTCTTATCTGAATTGATCAGACATTTGGCTCTGAATAGTTAAGCAATATACTAGCTCTTAATGGTTCAGACCTCTTACTGGTTCAGCACTTAATGGTTCAGACCTCTTACTGGTTCAGCAATTACCTATTCAGAAGTTGCCAAATAGCCCCTAAAACACCTATCAAATATGGGATTCTATTTTGCCAAAATATTAGCCAACACCATGAAACTAACATGAGTATCTGAGTATAGCACGATTGTTAGCAAAGCATTATGGTGTTGAATACATACAAAAATTAAAATGACACATACATGTCGGAATTGTTTCATGATTTAGTCACATTTAAGCTCGCCTAATTGTGTTTCTAAGAATGTCGAGAAGCACTCAAAGATATAGACAAATGCACTTTGACCATGAAAAGTAAGTTCCTGATACATTTCAAATTACTTGTGTCCAGTTCACAAAAGCAAGAATATTGTCTGAGTACCTATTAGAATACATACAACGAAGTGCATACAGATGTCCGGATTAAAAATTGTTAGTATAATTGTTTCCAAGAAATGTGTTGCATCACTCTGCCATGTGAACCATCAGGTGATCTCCGTATTAATTTTCAATGTTATAGCTTAGCAGATTAGGAGATTAAAACATATCCATTAAAAAAAATAAAAATACATATATATTGAAAATGAATTTACAACTTTACATAACAACTTAATATTTAATATATTGTGGAATTCAAATTGGGGTGAAAGCTAAGTAGAAAAAAACAAAAATAAAAAAGACCGACCAAGTAGTACCTTGAGCTATTTTAAAATTCATAGTGCTTTCATCTATTTAAAGCAACCTGGGCATCACAATTGATAAAGAGCTCATAGCTCTTCTTCAGAAATTGATTTCTTCTCTTTGCAAATGTTGCCTCCCTTTTTGGGTAAGTAATACATATAACTGACTCTAATACAGAGTAAGTGATATGTTTTGCTATATATTAATTTCTAAAATATTAGGGAGTATTTAGTAAAGGGACAAAGTGTTGAGAAAGACTGTCAAAAACATAAAAAATTGTAAACAAATACAAACCAAGACATTTCACAACAATACACATAATATGGATTGGATTAATTCACATCATTCATTGACAGAAAATATAAAAGTGATAGATTTAGGACAATGCATTCCTTTTAGAGTAATTAGACTGGAACTTGTTGAATGGGGAAGACATTGCCAAGAAAAACAGTGATGAGAAATTAGCATAAGCCGAATCCTCTTCCACCTCCTGCCCCCGAGGAAAAGACTAAAATGGTACCAAGTTAAGCTAGAATGGTACCAAGTGAAGCCCATTCCTCTTGCACCCCCTAGAGGGATGCCAACCTGGGAAGTTCAGAATTAGGAAAAGACAAGCATAGTGAATTGGTTAAGTGGAAACTTTATTTAAAAAATCAAACTAAAGGATGGTGTGTGTAGAATGTCACATACTCGTGGGAGAAGTGGAGGCCTTTGATTACTCGCGTATGAAGCCCAATTAAGGTGATAGAGGTTTTATAGTGTTAACACTTAGACTGTGTAGATATAAAGCTCCTATAATGAACAGTGTAACATTCACTCCATATGAAACAAACTAAAAATGGGAATTCGCTGCCCAAGGGAACAATACATTTTAAGAGTGCAAATCATTTTGTGAGTAATAGTAGTGTACGAATATCCAGTTCATAAAGGCATGAATCATATCGAGTAACTTGTTACAATGCATACAAGGAAGTGCATACAGATGTCCAGATTAAAAATTGTTTTAAATTTTTTTCCAAGAAATATGTTGCATCACTGGCATGTGAACCATCAGGTGATCTCTGAAAGAATTATTTAGGAGGAAATTCTCTGTATTTCTCTCTTGTCTTTACAATTTACAATTAAGCCATATATATAGGATCTCACAAGTTGAGACTCCTAATTAGTAAAGGAAAAGGAAAAGGAAAGAATCCCTATACAAGGAAAACTACCAAAATAATATATATACAAATATCTCCAAATATTCTCTGAATATATTCTTTTTCCTTTAACACCCCCCTCAAGTTGGAACATGTAATAACGAAATGCCCAACTTGGGAAGAAGAAACTCCAAACGTGACTTTCCGAGTGCCTTTGTATAAATGTCTGCAAGCTGATGCGTAGTAGGCACATGAAGTGTACGAATCTCTCCTCGCAAGAGCTCATCACGAACGAAGTGACAATCAATCTCAATGTGCTTCGTGCGTTCGTGGAAAACCGGATTAGCAGCAATATGAATTGCCGCCGTGCTGTCACACCAGACCATCATGGGGTTCTTATGCTCAACCCCTAAAAAACGCAATACATTCTTCAACCACTTCAACTCACATGTAAGGACAACCAAAGCTCTATACTCTCCTTCAGCAGACGAGCGAGCCACTGTCGACTACTTCTTTGTTTTCCATGAGACAGGCGAGTCTCCAAGCTGAACAAACCACCCTGCCAATGACCGCCTCGTCAAAGGACATGATGCCGAGTCCGAATCACACCATCCTATGAGTTGAAGACTACTCTCTGCTGATAGAAAAATGCCCTATCCCGGACATCCTTTCAAATAACGAACAACTCTAAGGGCCACAGACCACTGATTCTCCCTTGGTTCCTTCAAAAACTATGCTAAAGTGTGGACGGCGTAAAAAAGTTCTGGTCGTGTAACGGAGAGATAGACCAACATTCCTACCAATCGTCGATATGGTTCTGGATCTGTAAGAATCGCGGCTTGGGAGTGAGCCAAGTGATGATTTGGCTCCATCGGGGCACCCAACGGCCTGGCACCTAACAACCCCGCCTCAGTGATGATATTTAAGGCATACTTTCGTTGGCAGAGAAAAATACCAGACGTGCTTCTCGCCACCTCAATGCCAAGAAAGTATTTCAGTGTTCCCAAGTCCTTCATATGAAAACAATCTCCGAGATAGGCTTTGAACTTGCTCACCATCTCTGTATTATCTCCAGCAATAATCAAATCCTCAACATAAACCAAAACATGTATTACTCTTTTCTTTCCAACAAAAGAAAATAAGGAGTAATCAGCAAAAGATTGGACAAACCCACAGCGTTTCAAGGCTCCAGACAACTTGGCAAACCAACACCTTGGAGCTTGCTTTAAGCCATACAGAGACTTCTTGAGTTTGCACACCACATTAGACGAATTCGAGAAACCAGGTGGCAATCTCATATACACCTCATCCTGAAGATCTCCGTGTAGAAATGCATTGTGAACATCCATCTGATGCAATTCCCACCCCTTAACTGCTGCAACTGCTAAAAGTGTTATCACAGTGGTCAACTTGACTACAGGAGCAAATGTTTCTTTGTAGTCAAGTCCTTCAACCTGATGATTGCCAAGTATAACAAGTCTGGCCTTATATCTCTCCACACTTCCATCGGACTTGCGCTTGATTTTATACACCCATTTGCAACCAAGGGGCTTTTTATTGCGTGGAGGAGAGACAAGAGACCACGTCCCATTAGCCTCCAGTGCATCAATCTCCTCTCTCATAGCCTTCCTCCATCGTTCATCCTAGAATGCCTTCTTGAAACTCGTGGGCTCCACTCCAGCATCAAGTGCGCTGAGAAAACACTTGTGTCTCTCAGAGAACTTCTCGTGTGTGACATACGAGGCAAGAGGATATTTGCATTTTTCACCAACATATGAACCAGCTACATGGGTAACATAATCGGCAAGGCGTACATTTGGACGTTTCTCACGTTGACCACATCCCAAGTTCTCCACCGCCGGCTGGGAAGAGGACGGTCGACCGCCGTCCGTGAAACGGTCCACGGGGTCGACCGTCTGAGGCTATTCCAGATCGCTAACTTTCTGCCTTGGAGACGGTTGACCGTCTTCCTCATCACGGTCGACCGTTTGATCATCTCTCAAAGAACCGTCATTCTACCTCTTGGACGAAAGACCGTGGATATTAGGACGGTCCATCAGGTCGACCGTTTGGTCATCTCTCAGGAATCCGTCATTCTGCCTCTCGGACAGTCGACCGTGGACATCGGAACGGTCCATTAGGTCGACGGTCTATAGCCGGTCTACTCTGCCGCTTTCCTCCGGTCGACCGTCCCTCCTGGAACGGTCCATCTGTTCTTCCATCCGTAGTTCTTCATCTTCATCATAAGAGCTAACCTCATTTGTACTTCCTGTATCAAGAGATGCACCTGTAGGAGTCAAGAAAGGGAAAATATCTTCACAAAACACAACATCCCGGGACACCTTGATTCCTCCAGTGTCCGGGTAGTAAATACGCCATTCCTTCTTCCCTTATGGATATCCAACAAATATTCCAGGATTGCTTCTTGGTGCAAATTTATCACCATTCCTCTTCAAGTTATGAGCATAACATCTGCATCCAAAAACACGAATATGAGCCAAAGAGGGTGGCTTTTCATAGATCTTCTCGTATGGTGTGACCCCCCCTAGCAAAGACGAAGGTGTGCGATTGATCAGATGTGCAGTGATCTGTATACACTCTCCCCAGAACTTAATCAGAAGGCTAGCCTGAAACCTCAAAGCCCGACCCACATTCAAAATGTGTCGGTGCTTGCGTTCTACTCTCCCATTTTGTTGTGGAGTAGACACACAAGACGTCTCATGAATAATTCCTTGCTCCCGGAAATATTCTTTTAGACATTCAAATTCTGTGCCATTATCACTGTGAACACACTTTATTTTCTTCCCAAATTGTCATTCTACCATAGCACAGAATTGTTTAAAAACAATCCCAACCTTACGTTTCGAATCAATCAAATGTACCCAAACACCTCTTGAAAAATCATCCATAATGGTCAAGAACATTGTTAGAGATAGAAGAAGGAAACGGGATTAAAGAAGGAAAGTGTGAGAGACAGAATAAAGAAGCGGGATTAAAGAAGGAAACCGAATCCCTTTGGGATTAGGTTTAGTATCTTTCCTAGTTAGATTAGGTTTAGTATTTAGTATCTTTCATAGTTTGTTTAATTCTTATTTTAGTAGGAATAGAAGTTTCCTTGTTTACTTTACCCTCTTCCTATATAAAGAGGGTTGGATCTTTGTGTTCAAGACTAGTTTCACAAGACAATTCGATATACAGAGAATTTTCTCCTAAGTAATTCTTTCATGGTATCGGAGCTAGTTTTGAATTCTTGAGACCTCAAACACGCTTCTTCCCCTGCCGGTGGGCATACACAATTCAATGCCTACAGGCGGGATATTGTGATTTTTTTATTTTTTTTATTGTCCTCCCTCATTCTTGAAGAAGTGGTCAGACAAAAGTTGTTATACGAAGACAAACAACTCTTTCCGCGTTTACTGTTCCCGATCGACCGGCATCGCGTCCATCGATCGTCGCCTGTTGTTGCTGCTGAAGTGCCAGAACGGTCGACCGTTGCTGAAGAACGGTCGAGTGGGTCAACCGTCCCAATGACAGTTTCTCTTGATCGCGGTTACTGTTCATGATTGCCCGGCATCGCGTCCATCGGTCGTTGCTCAGTTTTTGTGGTTTGGAGCTGTTCCCAATTTGTACGTGTAGGAATTGCACGTGGGACCTGCCCGAGAAGCTTGCGCAGATACGCAAACTGAAAGAACGTTTCTTTCAGGTTTGGAGCAGTTCCCAATTTGTACGTGTAGGAATTGCACGTGGGACCTGCCATAGAAGCTTGCGCAGATGCGCGAACCTAGAGAACGTTTCTTGCAGGTTTGGAGCAGTTCCGAATTTGTACGTGTAGGAATTGCACGTGGGACCTGCCGGAGAAGCTTGCGCGGATGTGCGAACCGATGGAACGTTTTTTTATGTCCAAGCTGTGCATGTTGAACTCTCATGCTCCAGCTTGAGGGGAGGTGTTAGAGATAGAAGAAGAAAACGGAATTGAAGAAGGAAAGTGTGAGAGACAGAATAAAGAAGCGGGTTTGAAGAAGGAAACCGAATCCCTTTGGGATTAGGTTTAATATCTTTCCTAGTTGGATTAGGTTTAGTATTTAGTATCTTTCCTAGTTTGTTTAATTCTTATTTTAGTAGGAATAGAAGTTTCCTTGTTTACTTTACCCTCTTCCTATATAAAGAGGGTTAGATCTTTGTATTCAAGACCAGTTTCACAAGACAATTCAATATACAGAGAATTTTTTCCCAAGTAATTCTTTCAATCTCTTTATTAATTTTCAATGTTGTATGACAAAAGTATTTGTTAAGAAACACAGTAAAGAGTAGTGATTATCTAAACTTATAGCTTAGCAGATCAGAAACATATCCATTAAAAAATAAAACTATATATTTAAATACATTTACAACTTTACAAAATAGCTTTATATTAATATACTCTCAAATGGAATTCAATTTCACTATCCTCTTCGATCTTTCTTGAACTTGAAAACTTTAGCTTGATTTTTTAAAAAATCATTCTTTCATTAAATTGGGATGAAAGCAGAAAACAAAGAAACAAAAAAAAGACTAACCATCAGCTTAATTTCCTACTCTAAACAACCATCTCAAGCGAAATCGACAATTTACTTTGAGACCACGTGGGGTTCTTTAAAAATAAATAGATTTCACCAACTAATAGATTAGTGATCAAAATTCAGAAACTCCCTAATTACTCTTCGCATTCAATTTAAAGAATCAATTTAAAAAAGCACACTAAAAACCATGCAATAAGTAACTACTAAAATTGGAAAAATCATTATAACACACATTTTGCTTGTTATATGCTCCAATTGCACACTTGGTGTAGTGGAATGTTCTCATGAATACTCCAAATATAGACTCCAAATCATGAATACCTCTTCAGTGATAGCACTAAAAGTCACTACAAACAATCATAAACCAGGTCATCTCCTAATATCGAATATAAATGTGGTCATAAGTTTGAGTTGTAGGAGAGTTAAGGCACAAAAATTACCTTGGGATTCTCAGACTTACACCATCACCTTGAATTCCTCCTCTGAACAGCCATCTCAATCAAAATCGGCAATCAACTTTGAGAACACATGGGGTTCTTTAATAAAAAAAATAGGTTTCACCAAATAATACATAACTTATTAAACTTTACAAACTCCCTAAGAGCATCAACACTGGCGTTTAGAGGGATGCCACGCTGCCAGATCAGCACGAAGAAGGAGGTTGCCATGCGTGGATAGAGCATTCCTCCTCTATTTGCAAGTCATGACAGTGTCAATGTGTTTCCATTTATTTTTTAATTTTTTTTTGTGAAAAAAGATTTTTTAAAGGAATACATCTTTTTTTATGAAAATAGGATAAGTAAAATAATTTTTAATAATAAAAAATGTTTAAAAAGTTTAAAAACTGACAAAAAAAATGATTTTTAAATAAAATGATATTTAATTTGCATCGTAATTCTAAAATAATAATCTAAATTGAGATGAAGGAATAAATAAAAATATGGAGTAGATAACAAAAAAAATTAAAAATATATACAAAAAATATTTATTTGAGTAAATAGAAATATTTTCATGATAAAAATATATAAGTAAAATAATTTTTTATAATTCAAATATGGCAAAAATATGAAAAAAAGGGATGAAAACAATGACTTGCCATTGCAAGCCATGCCACTCCACTCGTGTGCCACTCGTTGACTAGACTATTTTTTATTGGTTGAAATGCTCTACGTCAGCGTGTGTCATTCCATTTTTGCCTCACCATTGTTCATGCTCTAATTACTATTTAGAATCAATTAACTAAATCAATTTTAAAAAAGAGTAAATTCCATAATTCGTCCTTTATAAGAGGGGGGTTTCCATATTTAGTCCTCTATTATCAAATACTACCTCCGTCCCAGAGTATTTGTCCACTTTCATTTTTACACACCATCCAATACACTTTTTTAATTCATTTTATCTTGTAATTTGTATATTAAAAAATTATAGAAATTATATATTAATAATCTATATGTTAAGACAAATCAAACAAGATCACACATGACTATATTTAGGCTTACACATTGAGAGAATTTGATGAGTCAAAGTGCTTAGATGAACCGTTCCAAAAGTCAAAACTGGACGAATACTCCGGGACGGGGGGAGTATTACCCCCGTAGTCCTTTTTTTAAGGGTGTCTTTCCACAAATGGTCCTTTTTTTTATCTTCTGCCATGTTGGTGTTAATTTAAATGCTAAAAGTATAATTTGACATCAACATTATGTCTAGTGATGTGTTCTGATATTGGTTAAGGGGATAACACAAAAAGAATGACTATGATTGTGGGCTGGAATTCCAACGAAAGACCACATTTGTAGACTATGGGTGTAGTAGAAAGCAACTGTAATTCACAAACGACGCAAATGGAACAACCTTTAGAATTGTGTATGACAAAAAAGATATATTATCATTGTGAAATTACACTTTTAGCCCTCAAATTAACACCAACATGATTGAAGATCAAAAAAGGACTATTTGTGGAAAGATACCTATAAAAGAAGGACCATTGGGGTAGTATTTGATAATAGATGACTAAATAGAGAAACCCCCCCTGTTATAAAGGACCAATTATGGAATTTACTCTTTAAAAAAACAGAGTAAATTCCATAACTGGTCCTTTATAACATGGGGGTTTCCATATTTAGTCCTTTATTATCAAATATTACTCTCGTAGTCCTTTTTAAGGGTACTTTTCTACAGATGGTCCTTTTTTGATCTTCTGTCATGTTGGTGTTAATTTAAAGGCTAAAAGTATAATTTGACATCAACATCATGTCTAGTGACGCGTTCTAATATTGGTTAATCGAATAACACAAAAATAATGACTATGATTGTAGGCTAGAATTTCAATGAAAAACCACATTTGTAGACTATGATTGTTGTAGAAAGCGACTGTAATTCACAAACAACGCAAACGAGATAGCCTTTGGAATTGTATATGACAAAAAAGATATATTATTATTGTGAAATTACACTTTTAGCCCTCAAATTAACGCCAACATGATAGAAGATAAAAAAAGGACTATTTGTGGAAAGATACTTATAAAAGAAAGACCACTGAAGTAATATTTGATAATAGATGACTAAATAAGGAAACCCCCATATTATAAAGGACCAATTATGGAATTTACTCAAAAAAAAACACAATAAAAACCATGGGATAAGTAACTACTAAAATTGGAAAAATCATTATAACACACCTTTTGCTTGTTATATGCCTCAATTGCACACTTACTATACTTGGTGGAATGTTCTCGGGATTACTCCAAATTTAGACTCATTGGATGGATTTGCACAAACACTTTTAGGGGGGTGTATTGAACTGGGAGTCTATAGGATTTTTTTTATTTTTAAAATCTGAGTGTATTCAATCTGGATTTTCAAAAGTCTTTAAAAATCTTGAGGTATTCAATTGTGATTTTCCAAAGTCTTTAAAAATATTGAAGTATTCAACTTGAATTTTCAAAAGTCTTTAAAAATTTTGAGGTATTCAAAAATCTATGAATTTTAATAGTGTATGGATTTTGTTGGATTTTCTATCAAAACATGCTTACATTTTTACTCATGGAAATTTCTTCTCACAACCCTAGATTTCTATGGATTTTCATCCTCTATCCTCCGGTAAATTTTACAGCGGCAGATGATGGCAGCCTACTATCCCAACAACCTTACCACTGATCACAACCTTACCACCAAACTCTACATAGATTCTATAAATTTTTCAAATCCACTAACTTTTTGAAATCTAAAAAAATCTAATAAAATCTTAATTGAATACACCCATTAGTTAGATTCTGTTATTATGAAACTCTAAATATCAAAATACAAGTTAGATTCTGTTATTATGAAACTCTAAATATCAAAATACATTTAACACCAAAAGAATCATGAAAATCAAAACATGCCCAAAAAACATAAAATAATTATCTTACTTCTTTTTTGAAGTGCAACCCGAAATAAATGATTTTGGTTTTGACCTTATTACTAAAAAAGAAAATCATAATGAGGTGAAGAGTAAACTGAGTTCTGTAGTCTTCTTCAACATCTCTTACATTACTATCCAATTAATCAGAAATGCAAATAGTACTTCCAAAAGAACCATAAAATCAGAATTCATGAAATATAATAGAGAGAAGAGGTTAGGGATTAAGAGATACCTAATCAGTGGAGGCGACTCTGCTACGAAGGTAGGAACTTGGTAGGCGAGTTAGCGGAGATGAATTTGCAGTCACGCATTTCCACTGTAGAGAAAAAAATCGAAATGGAGAAGAAGACTAAACTGAGGTCTGTGGTCTTCTTCGACATATGCAACAACACTATCCAATTAACTGAAAAAGGAAGGATAATTTATCGAAATAGGACTAAAACATAATGACTTTCTTAATATAGGATCATATGTTTTTATTTCCAATGTAGGACCATTGGTCATTATTTATTAGTCATTATTCAACTAAATATCCAGCATCACTTGATCATTATTCTTCTCACTAGTCATTATTAAGTCTTATTTAAAGAATAAAAAAGTTTAAGTTCTACATTGGGAAATGACTTATGTTTTAGTCTTATTCAGTGCAAATTTCACATAGTATAATGGGAGAAAAACCAAAATATCACTTTTAGAGCTTTAAAATATTCTAAATAGCAATGTTATATGTTTTGTACTTGTGATTTCGATTTTGTCCTTTAATTAAACAGCAAATATTCATCACACACTGCCAAAATATATGACTGTTTTGGGAAGTGTGGTTGTTCACTTGTAACTATGTAGTGGGCAATGTGGTTTTTTATATGTGAGTATTTAATGTGGCAGTGTAGAATGGATATATGTTGTTATATCATAAGATAATGGGTAATTGTATTATTGTGTTCCTTAATTTCATGTTGGAGTGTAATGTCCATTGATTTATGTGACAGCATTTTCATGTATAAATTCTACATTATCAAAAAGTGTATGACTTTTTTTATGTATGAATTTCACACTGCCCAAAAAATGTATAATTGTTTTTATGTATGAATTCCATATTGTTTTCATGTATGAATTCCACACGGCCAAAAATGTGTATGACCATTTTAATGTATGAACTCCACACTGCACAAAAATGTATGACTGATTTCATGAATAATCTATTACACCAAAACACACTGGCCAAACATGGGCGTTAAATATGGAACTTAATTTAATACCTACGAACTTGTTTAGGCATTATACGTTGGTAAACTGCGTAGGAGAAGGACCTCGCAAAGCTGTGGTAAACGGCGTAGGATGATGTTATCGCACGTACGAGACTCACGAATGAGAAGGAGCCGCACGTCTGAGAGAAGTGGCTACGTGAATAACCTAATTATAATGTAAAATTAGGTTTATTTTAAAATATAATTTTGATATATCAAGCTTTTATAACATTTATATATTTTAAAGCTATATTTAATTTATAGTCAAAGTGTGTCATAATTTTACTATAAAAGTCAAACTGTGACAATTTTTTGAGATGGAAGGAGTATGAAATACTCCCTCCGTCCCAAAAAGATTTACACCTTTCAAAAAAATTGCGTCCCACAATCTCCTATCCATTTTTATTAAAAAACTACTTTTTCATACCTTTTTTCTTATGATCTACACATCACATCCTACTTTTACACATCAAATCAAGATTATTTTTGGAAAGTCAACACAAAATTATTCCTCCCTTAATTTCCACTTTAGTTAAAATGTGTAAAACTTTTTGGGACGAAGGAAGTATGATTTTTTATATTTAATTGAATGCATTATATTAATATAAATTGTTGAATAAATGTGTTATAGGTGTGAGATATAATCCATCCGTCCCTAAATAGATTGCAATTTTTTTCTCTCTCCTCTCGATAACTCTTGTTTGTTTACTCGATTTCATTAAGTATTTGATAAAATAAAATATTTTTATCATCTCTTGTTCTGTAGAACTTTTAACGTAGTTTTTTAATATGTAACTTTTCTATCGTATTGATATACCATTTTGTAAATAAAATAATTTCAAAAAGTAGGAAATTTTACTCCGTAATCCACAATTTGTAATCAAATTGGAGACGGAGGGAGTAAGAGAATATAATAACTAAAAACAATATAGTTTAATTCGGGTACAAATTGATGTACACCCTAATATATAGGCTCTCAGTTTTTGGTTAAAAAAATACTAAAACAATTTTTTGCATTTTTAATTTTTAGAAATATAGAGAAATTTTTAAAACAAAAAATTGCTTCAACATACGAAACAAAGAATGCACTCTAAAATAATTGTTGTCAAACACAATTGTAACCGTTATACACTAAACTTATTAATACGGAGTATTTGTTATTGTTTGAATAGAATTGAAACGCTCTATATTTAAAATTTGATAGTTAAGCTAACTGATACAGATTTGAAAATTTTATTGTCCCATTTTAGATTTTTTAAATTTTAATTGTTTGAAAGGTTATTATTTGAATGAAAAAATTATTACTTTGGGGATATATTTTTTTTCATTTTTTGTCATTTTACATTGCACGAGAGTACTTTTCCAATTGCAATCTACAAATAATGTTAAATGTGAACTCCCTCCGTCCTAGTGTATTTGTCTGGTTTAATTTTTTCGAGTCAAACTGGACAAACTTTGATCTTTAATTAAATAAAAACCGTAATATATATTTTAACATAAAAAAAGACTTTATTAGATTTATCGTATTGGGAACTTTCAAAATTATATTTCATTATGCTAATATAAAATATAAATTAAAAGTAATTAGAGTTCAAAGTTTGTCTAGCTTCACTTAACAAAACTGGACAAACTGGATAAATACAATTTTGTATAGAGAGAGATGGGAAGGCAAAGCCAAAGGAGTTTTGCACTCTACGCAACTTTGATGTGGCATTTTAGACGACTCGGTCGTCTCTTTTGACTTTTTGGCGCGATGAATTTGACCGAGGCCAAAGGTGTTTTGCACCGACGATGATCGATCATATCTTCTCCAGCTTGAGCGCTTTGATAAGAGGATTGGCCTTTGCGATGGCCTCTCTTCCGGCGTCCTTGTAATTGAACGCGCAGCCGTGCATCTCCGGGTACCTGTGGGTCCCGCAGAAGGTGACCCCACACCTGCACCTAAACCCAGTCAGCCCCACCTTCTTCCGGCAGGCCGAGCACCTATTCGCCGGCAGCTGCACCTCCGCCGCGACCGCCGCGTGGCGTGCCGGTGGCGACGAGGCGGCCGGCTGAGAAACCTGCACCGGCAGCGCCGAATCCGCCAGATCCGCGCCCTTCGTCCGCCCATGTTCGAGGATGAGGTCTCGGTAGCATTTTTGGCAGTAATTCAGCGTGGCGGGGCTGCCGGAAAAGCCGCAGTTATTGGCGCACGACCGGTGCCCTTCCGATGCTCGGAATCCATGCTCTTCCGCCATAGATCTGATCTGGACAAAGTGAGCTCGCCGCAAATGAAACAGACTTGTGCGGAATTGATTGAAGAAAACAAGGAAAGATCAAAGATCTGAGAGAGAAAAGTGAGACGAATGGGTGAGAGTTTTAAAGGGGGAGTTGTGGCGGTGGTGGATTGAATTGGAAGACCCAAAAATATCATAAAGAATTCAATGAAGGAAAGGTTGAGGAAGGAGACAAGAAGGTCTGTGGAAATCAGCATCAACCATGATGGCAATTTCCTCAAACCAAATTGATTGAAGAGACAGACAGGCTGGAAAGGAGAAAAAAAGAAAAGAGGGAGGATGAATTCATTTCTTCTTTCACTCTTTATATGGAGAGTATATACGGAGTATAAAAGAGACGTACGAACTATAGAGCTGTCATGAGTATGACTCATGAGTCTTTTTTCTCCATTTTTTTTTACTCCATCCGTCCCACTGTGTTTGTCCACTTATCTTTTGGCACATCGTCCAATGCATTTCTTTAATCTATTTTATCTTGTAATTTGTATATTAAAAAATTATAGAAATTATATATTAATAATCTATATGTTAAGACAAATCAAACAAGATCACACATGACTATATTTAGGCTTACACATTGAGAGAATTTGATGAGTCAAAGTGCTTAGATGAACAGTTTCAAAAGTCAAAAGTGGACAAAGACAGTGGGACGGAGGGAGTATAATTCTAAGTTTATATACTCGAGTATTTATTTTTTAGACTTTTTGCAAATCAAATGAATAGCATTTTTATTTGTGCGATGAATGGAGTTAAACGAAAATATTTGCAATTCTACAATGTGGACTATAAAAATAAATTGACCTTTTTAGGAGGCATATCATTTAAGTGTCAAATATAAATGAACTATGTTTGCTGAATTTTTACAAATTTATAAATCTTCTCCCTGAATGAATTTAAAAAAATATTAATACAAAAAGCTAGTAATCCAAAGACTCGATGTGCATTGATTACAAAAAATGATTCTAGTCTCCCGCATTATTAAAAAATAAAATCTTAAATTAGCGATATTATGACTCTATGATTAAATTATTTTAAAACATTTAAAATTGAATGTTTCTTCTTCTCCTCATTCGTTTAAAAAAGTATTAATGCGAAAAGCACCACATTGTAAGTTTCAAATGGCATTTTTAATCTAATTTACATTCACCTGAATTATTAAATGCTATTCGAGCTTCAGGTGTTCCAAACCACGTGGTTACGTTAAAGGTTGATACTCTAATCATGCTGTTTAGAAATATCGATCCATCCATGGGTTTATGCAATGGTACGAGATTAATAGTGACAAGATTGGGGAAAAATTTAATTCAAGTAAAAGTTATGGCAGAAAAACATGTTAGTCAGGATGTTGTGATCCTTAGACTTTCTTTGACTCCTTCATATAAAAGGCAAAAAATTGCTCGCAGATACATTCAGTTTTGTGGTAAGAAGTAAGAACTACCGGATACCTCCAATTTTCAAAATATACGCCCAAGTACCTTAAATTATGACAAAACTTACCAAGAGGGGATTTTCCATCCTCCATCAAGCCCATTCTCTCTGCTTATTTTCTCATCATCATCAACATCTTCTTCCTCGTACTTCCTCTTCCTCCCTTTTCTTCTTCTTATTCTTCTTTTTCTTCTTCTATTATTATTATTATTACTATTACTATTATTATTATTAGAGTTAATTTCAAACATAATACTCAATAACTATGTCTTTTCCCAAATTAGTCCTCAAATTGAACTAATTTCCGAGACGGTATTCGCTAATTGCAAATAATGCCCAGTTTAGTCCCCCGGACTTACGATCGTCAGAACAACGTCAAAACGATATTAAAACTTATACTAATTTTTCAAATTGATCATCTATATATAATTAGATTTTTTTTCAAATTAGTCTATTTTGGATGTAAAAAATCATTTATTAAGAAAAACCGAAGTAGGATTCTTCCATTTTAAATTATTTACAGTGTTTGAAAGAAGTCGGGAGACCATTTTTATGAGTTTTTATTTTGGAAATTGACTAATTTTGAAAAATATTTGATTATAAATGATCATTTCGGAAAATAAGTATAAGTTTAATATCATTTTGATGCCATTTTGATGGCGTTTAGTCTGGGGGGAACTAAACTGGGCTTTATTTTCAATTAACGAGTACTATCTCGGTAATTAGTTCATCTTCGGGATTAATTTGAGAAAACACATAGTTATTGAATACCATATAAGTGATTCTGTATTATTATCATTATTAATATTATTATAATCATTTATTTTGAAGTACTCCCTCTATACTCTATAGATCTTCCCATTAGCTCTTTTTAGTTGTCTCCCATAGATTTATTTTGAAGTACTCCCTCTATCCTCCATTATACAGCTACCCTCACTTACTTTATTTATTATATCTCACCTGCCTCAATACACTCCACTCATATTCATTAAGGATATTTTGGTAAACTTTAACATTTTTATTGAACTTCTCTTAAGAACCACAAAAAGTCAAAATGAGAAAATCTTAGGAGGACGGATAGAGTATTATTTTCTTATTCTATTATTATAATTATTTAAAAATTAATTAATAGTTTTACTACGCTAATTTTTTTAAAATGACACTAATTATAATTATTTATTTATTACAAAGTATTATTTTCTTCTAGTTCTATTATTACTATTATCATTATTAAAAATTAATTAATACTTTTACTAGTTTTATTTTTTATAGATATATCACTAATTATTATTATTCTTATTATTATTATTTATGAAGTATTATTTTTCTTCTTCTTCTTTTCTTAAATATTATTTATTATTATTAGTATTGTTAAAAGGTAACTCCATCCATCTAGAAATGTTCTTGCAATTTGACTTTTCACGATCTTCAATGTCGTACTTTAACTATTAATATTTATATTTATAAATACATATATTTATAAAAATTTGATATTTGAAAATTACATTTCAATAAGAATATATTGATAGTAAATTTCTATCATAATACAATGTGTTTTTTTCTACATATCGGAGTCAAAATTAATAAAGTTTGACCAAGAAAAGTTAATTAGGAAGAAATTTTTTGCCCAAAGTGAGTAATTAATAGTTTTACTACTCTAATTGTTTTTACAAAAATAAAACTAATTATTTTTATTTATTTACTACAAAGTATTATTTTCTTCTACTTTTATTATTATTATTATTATTATTATTATTATTATTATTTATTATCATTATTATTATTCAAAAATTAATTGATAGTTTTACTACTCTATTTGGTTTAGAAATATAACACTAATTATTATTATTAGTATTATCTTCTTCTACTTCTATTATTTATTATTATCAAAAAATTAATTAATAAAAATTACAACAACATCAACAATAATAATGATAATAATAAAAAGAAGAAATAAGGATGAGAGGTTGGGGGTCTGGAAGATCGGAAGTAGGAAGAGGAGGAGCAGAAGATGGAGGATGAGGAGGAGCAAATAAGATAATGATGATGGTGATGGTGATGATGAAGAAATTCAAGAAGATATAGGTTTGACGGAAGATGGATAGAAAATCTCTCCTTAGTAAGTTTTCTCATAATTTAAGGTACTTGAGAATATATTTTGAAAATTGGAGGGATCTGGTATTTCTTTCCACAAAACTAGGGGTACCAGCAACAATTTTTTGATAAAAGGATTCCTTTTAGGTTTGAAAGGAAGCAATTTTCCGTCATGATTTTTTATGCAATGACCATTATTTACAAAAGTCATGAGCAATCTTTATTGCATGTCGGCCTATTATCATTGTCAACTTTACATTGTTGTCTCTCAGGTGAGAAATCAAGAGAAGTTATATGGTACAACCGGCTGTACCTAGAAATTGGTACATCCAAGTGGTACTCATTTTGAAATAAAGTAGTACTCATTCTCGTACAAACAGAACTATTAATTTTGAAATAACGTGGTACTCATTTTAAAATAACGTAATACTCATTCTGAAATAATGTAGTACTCATTTTCACACATTTATTTCATACAATTATAATATTCATCTACGAATAGCATAATGTTCATTCTGAAACAAAATGATACTCATTCTCAAATTAAGTAGTGTTCAATCTCAATTAAAGTACTGCTCATTACACCTAGTCTAAAATCAATCTGCCACCTTCTTCATCTTCCTCACCCAAAACCTAAATTATTTCGGACTAAATTTCCACAGCCACTTCTCCCATAAACCCCACAGCTTCCATCCAGTATACAAATAATACAATTACCTTCCCCACTATCACATCACCATCACCTTCTCCACCATCATCAACATCAACACCTTCGTCCAGCTGCTCCCAGCGTCCAACTCTGCACTACCTTAGTTTTCCGATCAGAGGTACTAGGGTTTGATTCGATCGCGTGCTGCTCTTTATCTCTAATTTTTTCCAGCTGTACAGTTCTTCCCGTACAGCCGGCTGTACGGTATAATTTGCGAGAAATCAAAAAGTACTTGAAATCTACCTGTAGCCTATAGATAGATTTTAACCCTAAACCCCGGGTTCGACTCTTATTGTTTATTTTTCAGAAACCTATTTTCTAAAGCTCTACCACTAAACAATACAAGAAGATGAGACGGAGGAAAGCCAAGGGTAGCGAACAAGCTGAGCAGCGGCACCAGTCTGAAGCCGTGCTGCTTCTGCCGGAGACTCGGGAGGTGGAAGAACCCGGTGAGGCTCATCCTGGATTTGAGGTATCGTTTTTTGATTATTCAGTTGAAAATCACTTTAGAGCTATTGATACTGCCCGGAAACTATGCGGGGAGCCGGATATTGATGATTCTATTGATCAAGAGGAGCTTCAACGATTTGGTTCTTCCATCACATTCCTTTCGTAAGTGACAAAATGGCATCTTTTTACTGTTTTAGTTAATTCAAGCTGTGCAACCTGATTTGCCAAAGTATTTTCATAGCAATGGGCCTTTGCCTAATAGTTTTCTTTGATGTTATAATTAAGGGAATGGAGATATTTAAAATACAAATCAAGAAAAATAAGGTTTGCTTCTGAAAGTGAGAATGGTAATGGGAAAGATGTCAAATGTGAAATTATCTTGCCTCAATTTTCTGCCACAACTGTTCCCAAGGTTTGTATAAGCATTTTCTACCTTGTGCGTAGCAGATAATTTCACACATCACGCATTAACAATCTAGTTTTGATGATATGATGCAGGGGACCTCTCAGGAGAAAGTATCTTCTCCACAATCCTGGTATATATGGACTTAAGTTTTCAGTTAACTTTTTGTTCACAATTTCTTGACGTTAAGGCTAGAGAACTATGAAAAGTAATCTTTGAAGTTGTTGGTTCACAACATTTGAACATTAGCATTTTTTTTGTTGCAGCAATGACCTTGTACTCTATGTTGGAGGTTCTGTTTGGGGCATAGACTGGTGTCCCAGAGCATGTAAGGAATCTGAGTTTCTCTTCCAAAGTGAGGTACGTAGACAGTTTTTATTTATTTTTATATGGTTACCTTTTCTTGCCACTCATGGTGAAAAGAAATACAATTAGAGTGCTCCAATTTCATCTAGTTTCCCATGCATTTGACAAAATACACTGATACTCCTATCTTCAATTATTTGCATAGTTTGTGGCCATTGCTGCTCATCCGCCTCAATCTTCATATCATAAGATTGGTGCCCCTCTTACTGGCAGGGGTTTCATTCAGATATGGTGTTTGTTGAATCACAGAGTAAAAGATGAGTCGTCCCAAGATAAAAAGTTGCGAAAAAAGTCAAGTAAAGGTGAGATAGTTAAGATCAAATCACCTGATCCAAAAAAACCCAGAGGAAGACCCAGGAAGAAACCTTTAAATGTGTCATCAGATGATAAACATGGTGATGAAAATGTGCAACAACCACTTGCAATTGAATATCCTGAAGAATCATCCCCACTTCCCACCACAGGCGACATGGCTTCTGAAAACATCAACAAATCACAAGAAGACTCTAGAAGGAAGCAGGAGGTAACTGAACAGCTACCGCTGACTGCTAAAACTTCTTCAAAACGCAGAAAGTTGAATAACAATTCTAGAACAAGCAGCCAGACTTGTGGTTCTGCTTTACCCTTTTTATCATGGGATACAAATGAAAAGTCTTCTTCCATTATTGGTTGTCAAACCTCGCAATGTTGTGCTCTCATGTCTATTGAATCAAGTGGTAATGATACAGCTCTCATGCAAACGATTCCCAATGGTCTTGCTTTACCAAGAATGGTACTGTGTTTGGCTCACAATGGAAAAGTAGCATGGGACATTAAGTGGCGATCATGCCATCTTTCTTGCTCCGAGTCTAGACTGAGAATGGGTTATCTTGCTGTTTTGCTGGGAAGTGGAGCTCTAGAAGTGTAAGATCTTGCCTGGCTATCATGTATTATACTATTTGCTTCTAGAATTGTCACTATATTATGTTTTTCTCTGATCAGAGTTATTATAGTACTTTGTATTACTTGATATTACTATGTCTTATGATATAGGTGGGAGGTCCCTTTTCCTCGCATAATAAAACGGATTTATTCATCAAACATGGAGGGTACCGATCCTCGATTTTTGAAGTTGGAACCAGTGTTTAGATGTTCTATGCTAAAGTGTGGTGATAGGCAAAGGTACTTCCTACATACTCCGTATTATCTTTTGCGGAATCATTCCCCAACATTTCTTAAAGTATTGTTTAATGATATCTTGATACATCATCTTCCCCATCAAGCTACTGATACATGTTCCATGTGTTTTAATTTTGTTAATAATTCAAAGTTTTCCTTCTTTTCTGTTATCACTTTCCACAGTATTCCTTTAACAGTGGAGTGGTCAATGTCATCCTCACGTGATATGATTCTAGCTGGATGTCATGATGGAGTGGTAATGGTTATGATCACTCATTATCTCTCTATTTTTTTATTCTCAAGCTTCATGCCACTCGAAATAAGAAAAATATGGTGGTCAAAACCACCTTCCTTTCAAAGTCGAAGTGATGTTGGGATTTTAAAATTTGCTTCCTCCCAGGCAGCTTTCTCATTTTCTCAATTTGCTTCCTCCCCGTTAGTCAAAATTCTAAGAATCAGAGGTCTGTTTACTAACATGTGAAGGTTGTTGTCTTCCAGAGATAAGTCAGATAACATGTTCACTTCTTTCTTTCAAATGTGGAGAATTACTCGTAAAACATAAAATGCGTTCACCAATTTATAAAATTTCGAAAAAATATAAATGTTTTCCAATTCTTATGTGGAGTACAATTTTGTAACAGACCAAAAAAAAGATATATTCTTTTTGAGATTTCCACAATGAAAAAGAGTTTTCCAATGTTAGTACCAAACCAAACATGGTGATTGTACCAAAAAACCAATCAAGATGGTTGATGACAACTACGGCGACTCATGTACGCCACTTACAGCAACACTTATCATGACCTCCCCCACAGCCACTGGTGATGACCCCATTAACACTCGCAAAGTCTCCTCTAATGGCCTCTATCTCCCTAACAGAATAACTACAGGTAGCAAACATTGATATCCACCGAAATCGATACCGCTACTACCGACTATTTTCACTGCTATGAACAACCAGTTTTTACCTTTGTCCCATCCTGCAACTGCTGACACCACCAGTAAACATTACAACTGCTATTTATGTCTCTTTCATTGTCAACAAGCACACGCCAGCAACCATCACCTTTGATGCTGCCATCAGCTTCCATCACTATCACTGTTCACCACCTGCTCTGACTTGATCCCTACCTTCCTACTATAGTCCTCAACCACCACCACCACTTGTGGTCCACATTTACCATTGTAGACCGTCACCATCGATCACCATTGCAACTGGTTTGTAATATTGGATTTATTTGCTACACATATTTTTCAATTTACCACCTCGGATCCAACTGTGTTGTTGTATTTTCAACCTTAGAATACTGACACCATAGAATGACTGGAGAAGAAACAGTGAAAACTGAAAACTTAATTAAATGGAACCTTAATTTTTATATTTTTTCTTTTTCCACCAACTTTTAACAATCAAGTCTAGAATTCATAAGAGCAAATCATTTGTTGGCAAACAATAATTGAATAACATCGTCTTTTTGCTTTCAGGTTGCCTTGTGGGTGTTTTCTACTACAAATTCTTCTAAAGGTACTACGATTACAATTTCCGTCCTTCACTTTTGAGTCAACTTTTCTCTTTCGGAAGTTGAAATTGTTTTCAAACTCTGAGAAAAATCTGAGTAGTAAAAATGAGTGTTATCTCTAACTCATGCTCCCTTTCATAAAAATAATATATTTTTCCTTTTGACTCCATCCTTTTGTGGAGACACAAGGCCTTTGCTTTGCTTCAGTGCAGATACAGTGGCCATAAGGTCACTTGCTTGGGCACCATTTGAAAGGTTAGTTTACTATGTACGTAGTATTTGATACTGTACAAATGCTAGTTTGAGGAGGAAGCACATATGAGTAACATACATTATCTTCTTTTTATTGTTTGATTACTTGTTTATCTTATCAAAGCAATTATTTGACATGATGCTAAATCTGCAGTGGTACCGAGAGTGATAATGTGGTCATCACTGCTAGTCATAAGGGCTTAAAGTTTTGGGACCTACGGTAACCATGTTTATACTCTTTCCGCACACTTTCTAGCTTTGGATGTCCGAAAATGAACTTTACACTTTTCCACTTTCCTTTTAGGAAAAATAAATATGTGAACAACTTAATCTCTGTATTTTTCTAAATAAATTTCAACCACACACTTTTTACTTTTCATCAAGCCCCTTTTCACTTTTCAATGTTTTTATTAAACTTCATAAGTTCAAAGTGTTGAGTGAGTATAGTTTTACATGTGTTCTGTGCTTTAGTTGTATTAACAGTCCAGTTTTCTTAAGGTCTGGAAATGATATTTGTGTTTTCAAGTCGAATATGACTCATCACAGTTCTAACTGATACCTCTTTCCATCATAATTCGTAAAGTAACCAACGAATTTCAGATGCACAAAAATAGAAAAGTGGACAACTAAATCCGGACTGAAGGAATATAATTTCTTCTCAGCGTATTTCCTTTGCTGATAAAATGTTCGTCTCTTTAGTGACCCATTCCATCATTTGCGAGAATTCAATCCTGGACAAGGGGTGGCTATATATAGCCTGGATTGGCTGCCATATCCAAGGTCTGTGGTTGCTTTATCTAGTTGGATTTGACCTATTACGCTCTGGTACTATCTTTTGAATCTAGGATCTCTCTTTGAAAGTGACTTTCAATGGTGAAGGTGCATTCTTGTATCGTGTGATGACGGATCCATACGGATTCAGAGTTTGGTAAAGGCTTCCAATGACTTCCCTGTCACTGGAAAGCCGATCCCCATATCCAAACAACAAGGATTTCACACCTATGAGCTGTCATCCTTTGCAATATGGAGTCTGCAAACTTCACGGCTTACAGGTTGCTTCTTACCCAAGATGAATCACTATTTTATCAAAGTTTAAGCTACTGTCTTATTTGGTGTCTCCTAATTCCTTGCCATTCATTCTGATAAGTTAATACAGTGATAGATATTGGCGTGCCACTCATTTCGGAGTAATTGATTTGGAGTATCAATACAAGTCTGCAAACTTCATGACTTCAAAGAGTTATCCTTAAAATGATTTCACCCCATTGAAATAAGTGGCACACCGATACAATATGGTTTGACAGAGAATGTGGATAGATGATTTGATTTCTATGATTCTATTTGATCTTTAGGTGTGGCCGCATATTGCAGTGCTGATGGTACCACTGCCTATTTCCAGGTTTATTGCTCATATTCATATTATTTAAATTAAGATTGTTATACTTCTCCCTCATTTTTATATATCTCGCAACCTTTAAACATTATCAAACACACCCAAAAGTACAAATTATCCAATTCTCGTAAGGGTTGTGGATAAAGATGCCCCTTTTTTTCTTTTTGTTTTGTTTTATCTACCCCCAATACACGGATATTTAGGAATAGGAACTTTTTTTTTTACCTTTGGGCATGTTTTTGATATTGTGCATTTCTTAGAAACGCACATCATAAAAAACACACCCAAGTGTGCCAAAATGTGCGTAGAAAGTTTGTTTTACCTCCTTAATCATTTAAGCACATTTCAAAATTGGAACCCTTTTTGGGTACTTTTGGCCGTGTTTTGATAATATGCATTTTCGATGCCTTTTTTTTTGTTTTTCCTCAATTTTTATGCACATCAAGGAATAGAAACCCTTTTTTGGGTACTTTTTGGGTGTGTATTTGATAATGTGCATTTTAGAAAGAACCCTACCTAAATTGTTTTCTTGATAAGCAGTTAACTAAACAAGTCGAAACTGATGCCATGAGAAATCGCGCTCCCCATTTTATTTGTGGATCGTTTGCCGAGGAAGAAGAATCTGTCCTCACAGTAATCACACCTGTGCCGAATCGGATGAAGACCACCAATGTGTCGAGGGCTACACACACTTCTTCATCCGGTAACTCTATCAACACTTGTTGCACTCACTTTCTTTATTACACATTTTAAGAGTGTTGCAATTATCTCTGCCTTCCAGTTGTGTACACTGGTGATGAACCTGATCCTCAGCCAGTGGCGGCCCTGACAAACAGTCAGGCACCCTTCAGTGATCAAGGAGATGGAAGCAAGCTTCCTCCCAAGAGTGTTTCAATTCAGAGGGTGAGATGGAATATGAACAAAGGCAGTGAAAAGTGGTTATGCTATGGAGGAGCAGCTGGAATCGTTCGCTGCCAGTGGATTGACACACCTACTTACTGACTTTAATCTGCACCATGCTGTTAACCTATATATATCACTCATCTTTGGCAATGTACATTGCACGTTGTTGTATATAAGTTTAGTGCTCCATGAGTGTATTGTTTCAGATTTTTCAATCCTAGAAAGCTGCATCAGAAAACTACATGTTTGATAATGGATGATGTGTATATATAGTCTTCAGACTGCAGAAGATGGAGGGTGTTTATACCCTAATGTTAAATATAATTGTTTATATTTAATATTTATACTTTGTATTTAGATAAATACTCGAACCAATTGTGCTTATCTCATAGAGTCCCCCTTGTACTTAGATTCTCTCTTCCATAAATATTCTTGTAAAGCCTTTGGTTTAATCAATGAGAATTATTAATCTTTCATGGTATCGGAGCCTAATTAAACTCCCGATCCGTTTTTCTCGATCTCCTCCTTCATCAGTCTTCTTGGTCGCTTCCATGGCCTTGCCGGAATACTCTGCTACCCCTCAAACTCACATTGCTTTCACAACTTTTTCTAATATAAAGTTTCGTATTCTGATTCAATTGAGTATATTGGGGCCCAATTTCAAGAAATGGAATTGCCTCTTTCTCCTCGTTAAACGATTCAACATCCAAGGATTTCTTGATGACTCAGTTCTAGTCGACGATGAAGACGACACTGAATGGACTGAGTTCGATGCTTTACTCCAAGGTTGGATCCTTTCCACTGTGTCCGACAAGGTTTCTGATCTCATCCTCGCATCTGATGCCACTGCTCATGCTCTTTGGGTGGCGATCGACAATCTCTATCACGATAATAAGAATGCTCAAGCTATGCAATTGGAGCACAAATTTTGAACCACTGTAAAAGGAACACGATAATAAGAATGCTCAAGCCCTGAAGAATCTTGTGGATTGCCTTGATGATGTTGATGCCCCGATCAGCGAAAGGACTGGTTCTGCTGATATGCACTCTCAAGTCTCTTTTCTACCATTTCAGAATCCTTTTCCGACTTTCATGGAAGCGCACTCTGCTCTCCTCGTCGAACAAGAAGTTGTTACTCCCTTGGATACTAGCGCCCCTTTGACTTTTCTATTGACGTCTTCGCGGCTAACAACAGGTTCCAACACTGCTCTGGATCAGACTCAGTACTCTGGTCGTGGAAATTCTGGTCAGTCCCGAAATGAAAATTGCGGCGATCGCGGACAGCGCGAGCATGGGGGTCGCGGCAGGACATACAATCATTTCCCTCGTCCCAATTTTCCACCCAATTTTCTACCCACCAGCCCTGCCCCAAGTTTGCTTGGGCCTTGCCCTGGGCATGGACACCATTACTCAGCGCATGCACACCTCACTCCCCCATATTTCCCTTATAAACCCCAACCAGAAAACCCTCACCCCTACCCACAACCTCACTCCTTTCCCTACCTTTCCATGCCTTACCCATATCCCAACCTCGCTGTAGCTCTAACTCCCACAACCCTTTTTGACCACCTTGATACCTTAACCCTTCATGACCCGTCTTGGTTCATGGACACCGGAGCTACCCATCATGTTTCAAATAAGTCGGGTTCAAGATCTCATGTTATTAATCAAGGAATGAATTCTCTTGTTCATATCATAGTTGGTAATGGATCTAAAGTACGTACTACAACCTCTGGCCATACTTGTTTTCACACACCCCACCTCTATCCCTCGGTGATGCCCTTGTTTCACCCCATATTACACATAATCTTATCTTTGTCAGTCAATTTACTCGTGATAATAACTATTCACTTTAATTTGATTCTCATGGTTTCTCTATGAAGGATCTTCGGACGACAACCGTGACTCATCGCTCTAATAGTGACGGACAGCTTTACCCCTTTCATCACCCTCCAGCTCTTGCAAATAATGCCGCAACCCAGCCTCCTTAGACACATGGCACCGGCGCCTCAGACACCCAAGCACTTCTATTTTTCATGGTCTCTCTAGTTCTCTTTTTTACTAAGGGTTGCCTGGACCACTTATGTCATATCTGTCAATTAGGCAAAAATGATCATTTGTCGTTATATGCTTCGTGTCACGTTTCATCATTTCACTTTCAATTAATGCACACTAATTTGAAGCAATCTTCTCTACCTAGTGTTATCAGTTATAAATTTTTTATGTTCCTTGATGATTTTTCGCATTACTTATTGGTCTTTCCACTTAAACATAAAAGCAAACAGAATTTTATGAAAAAGGAAACAAAGCGAAGAAAAAAGGAGAAACATAAATGAAAAATAAAGAAATAAAAAAAGTAAAAGATCTAAGAGTTATTATCATAAAACACTAACATAAAAGTAGGAAAAAAACATTTATTAATATCTATGTATGCTATAGTAGACGGAATGTCCCCTTCTCAAAATTACAACAAAATTTTAAGAGCTCTAAGTGAATTTACAATGTGGCTGACTCTCGCCCGCCCCATTCCCTACAACATCGTCATTCCTCTATTTTTTGCCCATCCACAGAACATCTACAACGCTATCACCCTCTCGTCATGCTTCTTCGTTTCTTTTACATTATTCACCTTTTTTTAATTTAAAACATAAATAAATTTAACGAAAATAGATGAATAATTAAAAAAAATTAAAAAGGATTGTAACATTTAAAATTTTAAAAATAAGCGAATACCATAATAAAATTACAAAATACTACATTAACAAAAGAGGAAATTTAACATGCTTGAAATTTATATTAAAAATACAAATACTAAACAAAATAAAAAAATGCTCAGAAAATTAAAACTTTAAAAATAAATAATATTGATTTTCCCTACTTATCATGGTGTGGGCCGCTGCCAATCATGTTGTTGTGCATCATCAGCTCCCACTCTGACATCCTCGACGTATTTTTTCTCATGAATGCCCCAAGGTTATTGAAATGGCCACAACCAAGGTTATACACTCTAGGTTACTATTTATTCTGTCTAGCGCTGGGTTTGGGGATGAGGGTGGCATACTCGGAGCCTTCGTCTTCTTTGTCTCCTTCGTCCCGATCGGACGGATCTGACCGCTAGATTTCTCACATGAGAACGGGACGAAGTCATCCCTCGTGGCATTAACGTCTATGGATTTTCTGCCCCCTTTTTTCGAGTACAAACTAGTCTTGGAGAGTTTGGATTGCTCGACCCCGATCCTCTAGCATCCACCCCAATATTGAATTTGGGGCTCTTCTACATAAGTTTCCAGATATCCAAGAACTTGATATCCTTATTTTCTGATTTATAATAAAGGTCCAATGCCTTTAAGAGAATGTTGTTGCCGTTGGACCTACTGGCCACGTATTTTGGACATTGGCATACAAGCCACCAAACTTTTGGACTTCCGAAAGCACAATCCCTTGGTGTTCCTGAAGCATCTCCTTGTCATGTTTGGGCATACCATTGGGCCTTCCAGCGTTGTACTTTACTGCAACAAGCTCTCAAAAAGTTTTGGATTTCTTGTAGTTGCCGTTGATGGCGTCTTCTGACACGTCGATGAAGAACATCACCGATGTTAGACTTTCAGTCGGGGTATAATTCTTTGGGCGTCATTCTTTTAGGCCTTTGCTTTGCTAATACCCTCGGTGATGGGCTCCAAATTAGAAAGGTCGTAATCAGACGTATTAACGATTGATAATTGGTAGGGCAATCATTGGAGCCCGAGAAGGGGGCTAAATCATCATCGACATTGGTCTGAAACAAGCGGAGTTTGCAAATATGATGCAATCATCAATGTTTGACTGCTGGAAAGGAAAGGTGTGGCTGTCTAGACTCATATTTGGAAAGTGAGATGAGAGAGAGATGTGAGTGAGATGAAAGTGGACGGATTGAGTTTGAGATGTGACAAATTTATAGAGTTGAAAACTAAAAAAATAAATATTAAAGCAAATTTTTTTTAAAAAACAAAAAATCCCAGTGCGGCGTAGTAGACATCTACAATGGAAATCGCCACGCCCCTCCCCGACTTCATTCCAGGCATGCGGCAAGCGCCGCAACTTGCGTCTCATTTTTCGTGCATGCAATCAAGCCAGTTGTGCACCATGCCCCTCCCAACGGTGCGCCACCCCTCCCCTCTCCCATTGTAAATGGTCTAATAATGTCTTTTTGTTAATGAGGGACGTGCACAAGGAGACCGACGTGCCCAAGAAGTCCGAATCTTGAAGGGGCTCAGGTTGACTACTTTCCTTGTTTCTATACTTCTTGTTTTGGTAGGAGTAGATTTTTGGTAAGGTTAGAAGTTTACGCGCTCGGTTATTCCTCCGACACATAAATGGGGATTTGTGTTTGTAATCCTCAAAACCATTGAATATACTGAATTATTCCCGATATTATTTCGAACATGGTATCAGAGCATGACCTTGGAGCTTCACAACTCCAGCCATAACCTCCCTTCCTACTACGTGCAAGATTCCCGATCATTACGGACAAGATTGGTGATAATCAAGACAAAGATCCTTTCTCCAAAACTTTTAGCAAAGGAGAAGGAACCAACAACAAAGAATTCACAAAGGTTAGTCTTTATGAATTGAAATCTACAGACACCCCTACACTAGTTATCATCGAGTGATAATTATGAAGAATGGGTACAAGCACTACATGTTGCTCTCCGTGACAAACAAAAATTTGGATTCATACACAGATCTATTCCTCAACCCGAGGAGGACGAAGAAGAAGCAGAGAAGTGGTGGATCATCAATGCCATGCTGGTTTAATGGATCTTCAACACCATAGATGGATCTCTACAAAACTCGATCACAAAAGTCAAGGAGAAAGCAGGATTATGGAATGAGGTACAAGAAAGATTCTTTGTTGTGAATGGTCCTCGAGTAAATTAACTCAAGAAGGGATCGGCATTTTGCAAGCAGAACGGACATACTGTTGTGTCATACTTTGGAACGATGAAGAACCTGTGGGACAAATTGGGCACTATAGAAAAATCACCCACTTGCGCTAAGTGTCGTGGGTGCAAAAGCGACACCTCTAAAATGATCGAAACAAAATAGGAGAACGAAAAGGTCCATCAACTCCTCATGGGACTTCATAACGAGAGTTATGGTGGTAAGAGATCAAATATCTTGAGCGTCGTGCATTTAACACTGCTCAACCGCGTCTACTCAAAAACTATTCACCACAGTCTGCTGAAAAGTACTCAGGGAGAAGAGAAAAATCCAATTAGTTTCGCAGTTACTTTCAATACCAATCGTGACAAGATGTGAAGTGCAAACACTAAAGAATAATAGGACATGAGATGAGTGGTTGTTTCCACCTTGTGGGATATCTTGAATGGTGGGGTGATAGGCCCGTTTTTTCAAGTAATAGGCATGGAGGAGGGCGCGGCAGAACAACATGAGGTGGTAGACAAGGGGGTCGAGGAGGGGTATCCAGACAAGGAAACTGCATGCAAAACAACAGCGGTCCCACCGACGATGGATCTAGTGGTCCAATGGCCTTCACGAAAAAAATAAAAAGTGAAGTGGCAGACGAGAACCATTCACTTCCAAGAAATGGAAGGCTCTCATGGGAATGCAAAAGAAGAAAGAAACACCAATCAAAAATAAATTCTCATGTACCTCTGTTACTTCTTGGATCATACATAGTGGAACAAGCAAACACATGACATGAGATGAGGACTGTTTGACAAACTTGGAGCAACCCAAAGCTTGTTCCGTTGGCCTACCAAATGGAGATACGACCATGACAAACAAAAGAGGAAGCATGTGGTAGACTGACTCCATTGTCTTGAATGACGTTCTACTTGTTCCTCAACTTAAATCGTATCGCTGCCTCTCATCTTCAGGACGATATACATTTAATTGTTCAGTTTATTAACAAAATTTGTGTTATACAGGACTGTACCTCAAAGACAATGATTCGAGCTGAGCGGGTAAACAGCTGGGAGGGCTATATTATCACTTGAATGGTGTGACTGATAAAATTTGCGTAGTGATAGAGAGAAACAACACAGACTCTTAGCACAAGAGATTATGACACCCTTCTCACACTCTTCTCATACATCTTCCTCAAGTACCTTTTTCCAATGATAATGTTATTGAAACACCTTGTGAGTCTTCATTCTAAACAATGACGTGAATCTTTTCCCAATAGTCAAATAGATCCAATACTCCTTTTTCCTTTATCCATTGTGATTTGTGGGGTGCTTATAAAACTGGATCTAGAACTAGGACAAGATATTTTTTTAACAATTGTTGGTGATTTTTCCCAGGCTGTTTGGATATATTTATATTGAACCATAAAGACGAAAAATCCTTTGTCCTCCATAATTCTTTCACCATGGTTGACCGTCCACTCAATAAATGAATTTTGGTGGTTCATAGTGATAACGGAAATGAATTCACATGCATGAAACCATTTTTAAATCTCATGGAATATTTTTTGAATATTCTTGCGTTGGGACCCCACAAACAGAATGGAAAAGTTGAACGCAAGCATCGCCATATTCTCAATGTGGCGCATGTTCTGCGGTTCCAAGCTAATCTTCCCATTGAATTTTGGGGAATTGAATTCTCACCGCAGGTTATTTGATAAACTGTACCCCTTCCCAACTCTTTGTTGAGCATTTATCAGGTGCTAACATATCAAACCTAATTATCACTCATTAAAATCAAAACCAGATAGTAGTACATTGATAAGAAGGGTCATTCTTCCATAGGGATTAGTGGTTAACTCAGGTTTTTTAAAAAGAGATAGTTTCAAATATCAGTAAAGCAGAACAATTACCCACACTCAACTCACACAGGGGGGGTTTGGAAAAGAGTTTGATATTTAAGGTGATTCAACAAACAATAATAAAAAACCGTAACAAGTAAAAAGGGCGGCAAGATGTGTATTTCTTATGTTGAAAAGGTACCTGGGTATTGGGGTAAATAAAAATATAAACTCAACTAGTAAATCATTAGCAAGGGTCAAATGAACCTAAATGCAGCTTGGGTTGATGGTAATAACGACCTAGTTATCCTTTCAGATTATCTAGACTTAGGACTAGCCCCTCACCTAGACTTCCCATTCAGGTAAACACCTAACTAGCTTAAGCATTAAACCTTAACGAAAGCATTAAAATCTAGACAAATATACCCAAGGAATCACTACAACCTAACCAACTAGGTCATATAATGACTCTATATTAAAGTCCAGTAAACAGAAACCATGGACCAGAGGTTTGAGCATACTGATTGGACAGAGGCGGTTGGGTTGTGCAGTGGCATCGTCCTGGCAGTGGTACGGATCGGGCCATGGGGGGAAATACGCCACCATTGACAACCTCCAGCATTCTCCAGGCCAATTTAGGCGGTGAGGATGTTACCAAACAATGATGTTTGTGCTTCAGTAGCCTTCAGAAATGAGTGGATATAGTCGGATAGCATGTGCATTGAGACTGGGTAGCAGTGGCGCTATTCCCGTCAATGCTCCGTTTGAACAAGGTTCTCTTTAATTGAATCAAACCCAATCAAGATGAGTGTGTGGACATCTAACACTTGAATATGCATCTAGGTTACCATCAACCCAAGCTGCATTTAGGTTTATTTGATCTTTGTTAATGATTTACTAGTTGAGTTTATATTTTTATTTACCCCAATACCAAGGTACCTTTTCAACATAAGAAATACACATTTTGCCTTTTTACTTGTTACTGCTTTTGATTATTGTTTGTTGAATCACCTTAAATATCAAACTCTTTTCCAAACCCCCCTGTGTGAGTTGAGTGTGGATAACTGCTTTACTGATATTTGAAACTATATTTTTTTTAAAAAAAACTGAGTTAAACACTAATCCCTATGGAAGAATGACCTTTCTTATCATTAATATCTTATTTTGATTTTAATGAGTGATAATTAGGTTTGATTTGTTAAATGCTCAACAAAGAGTTTGGGAAGGGGTACAGTTTATCAACCCAAAATTCAATGGGGAGATTAGCTTGGAAGCGCAGCAGAGAAGGCAGATCGAACAACTGAGGCTTACATTCCGCTTCATCCATTCAAACAATGAGTCCTCCTCCTATCTTTAATTCATTTCTTCTTATTCTATGTTTGAGTAATTTCTATGAACTTCGTAAACAATTAGATGAAAAATGTATTGATTCTTGATATTTTGAATTTGGTTTTAAACTATACGTAAAAAAAAGAAGATGGAACATGTGTTGATTCTTGAGATTTGGATTTGGTTTTAAGCTATACGGAGTACTTTAATTTTTTCATCTGAGCATATTTTATATTCTTAGATTTTATGGTCGATGATTGAATAAATAGAGTGCACATTAGTTTTTCATACATTAAACCTATTGCTTATAATTCTCTGAGCTGGGTCTCTTGGAAACAACCTCTTACATCATAGTAGGTGATACCAAATTAACAGAGATTCTAAGAAAAAGAAGCTTTTTGAAGAATCTAGATGCAGAATTAGGGAAGAAATTCCGAGGTGTCTAACCAGAGGAAAAGAAAAGGATTGGGGAAGAAGAATAAGAGAAAATGTGAGAAAGAATATTTGATTATCAATTCACATGCTCAATACAATGTATCTCCGTCTCTTTTATACTGATCAGATGACAAAGAAGCTAAACAGAAATAGAAACAGAATCAGTTATAGAGATTACTAATCTAACAGCATCGACCCAGATCAGCTCCATCTCATCTCCAGCTCACCTTAATCTTGTATCGATACCCCTTCCTTCAGAGCAGACTTGTCCTCAAGTTTGTACTACTGCCTTGTTCCTCTTTTGACCCGCCTTCGTTCTATATTAGGACTTCGAATGATTGGAAACCTGAGCTGCAATGTTGTGAGGTACTCCCATGTCGAGTGGCTACCACCCAAGTTAGACCGTTCCACATTAACCTATGTCACTGCTTTATTTCCCTTTTTGACCAACCTCTTTTCTGAGGTGCGTATGGGAATAGGTCAGCTTGAGCTAGCTGCATCACTCGAAAATGGTTGATAGTGGAAGGGACTTAATGACATTTCTTTATCTGGAGAAAATGAAGTGTAGCAGCCTGACCAGGAAGTAATAATTTGTAAGCAACTGCACTAACCCCAACAACAATATGATGGGTTCCATAGTACTTGGCTGCCAGCTTTTGGATGGATGTCACTGCCACTAAGATCTGCCTATAGGATTGGAGTTTGAAATAGACCCAATCTCCCCCTTTAATTTGCATATTTGTTCTGTACTTATATGCCATGTCCTTCATTCTTTTATGTGCTCTATAGATATCATGCTTGAGTAATCGAATGATAACTTCTCTAGCTATAACTGATCTATCCATCATTTCAGATTTTGATTCTCTTGTCAAATAAGGAAGATGAATGGGAGCCTCTTGACCATACAAGACCTTATAGGTGCTATTGTTCCTCCATTCTACTAAAGGCATATCTTAGTGATCAAAAGCTCTCCTCTGCAAGGTGGTAAGTCCTTGTTTGTGCAATTTAGCAATACCAGTGGAAATTGGACCTTCCCTTTCAGTTTTTGTGTGGAAATAAGATAACTCTGTATCTTCTTTGGTGGTAAGGGCCATCATAAAGAGTTGAGCCCTGTTACTACTATCTTTTTCCACAGTTTTCATCCTTGTAGTTTTCAGTTGACTACTATCCCCTCTCAAAATATGCTTCTTTCCATCAAAATTGAACTCAATTATTCTGTTTTTGGAATCCAACAGTATTCTTCCCAAAGTATTTAACCGCTGAATGCCTAGGACAATGTCCCCACTTCCCAAAGGCAGTAGTAAGAAATCAGATACAAATGCAGTACCTTGCAATAACCATCGGACATTCTTACAAATAGATGATGTTTGTACCTGTCTTCCATCAGCCACATTGACTAATTGTCCCATAATCTTACTAGTACTGCACTCAATCTTTTTGCCAAATCATGATTCATGAAGTTGTGAGAACTACCAGTATCTATTAGGATCTGTAGAGGCTGCTTCTCATGGTATCCAGTAACTCTGATTGTTTGGTAACCTGAGACCCCCTTTAATGCTTGCAAAGAAATGGTCATAAGCTCTTCCAGCTCTACTAGGCCTTCGGATTCACAGCTATTGCCTCTATTTTCCAATCCTGTTTCTTCCTCCCTGACATCAACTAAGAATACCTGTTTTTATTAGCACATTTGTGACCCATCACATACTTTTCATCACAGAAGAAACGGAGTCCTTTTGCTCTTTTTTCCAATGTTTGAAATGGCGTATTGCGGGTTTGAGGCGTTTTTTCTTCATGGCGTATTGCGTAACCTCGAGGGGTATTGAGGCGTAAGCCTCATTATTTTAGTTGGATAATGTCCATAAAACATTTTTAATAGTGAAGATAGAACATTATTTATAACATAAATCATCCATAAACATTCAAAAAGTATATTGTCAAAGTAAAAGTATATTGAAAGAATCATATTTTTCCCTGTGGATTCGATCCATAATTAATTCTTACCTATACTTCGATCCCTAATTAATGTTCTTCATGGCGTATTGCGTAACCTCGAGGGGTATTGAGGCGTAAGCCTCATTATTTTAGTTGGATAATGTCCATAAAACATTTTTAATAGTGAAGATAGAACATTATTTATAACATAAATCATCCATAAACATTCAAAAAGTATATTGTCAAAGTAAAAGTATATTGTAAGAATCATATTTTTCCCCGTGGATTCGATCCCTAATTAATTCTTACCTGTACTATAAATTTATATATAACTAGATTAGTTGTTAAATTTGTAGCCGCCAAACAAGCTTTACAGCACGTGATGAGGGGGATGCTCAGTTAGGAGTTGTGGGGGCTAGAGGTAGGCAACTTTAGGAGGGTAGAGGTAGGCCGAAGAAGAGTTGTGGCGAATTAGGCGAATTAGTTAGACAAGATTAGCAGCTTCGGGAGCTCACAGAGGACATATGACCCTAGCTTTGAGTGTTTGGCAGTCTAGGATTACAATTCTAGGGTTAGCGTAACTGTGGTTTCTCCTTGTGTGTGGGACCTCCTTTTCCCTTTTTGATTTCCATTGATCTATGAATTGTAACTTTTTTCTTTGTATTTTGTCCTTTTTTTCCACCCCTAAAAATGTTGTTCACATAAGTAAAAGATGCAAGTGCGTTCTACTCAATTAACATTTGTCACCTTGTTGAAGATGGGTGAATTTGGTGGAATTAAATTCATGGCTCTTTTTAAACATAAAAACGTATTGTGGTTATTGATTATATTGAAGATACCTATTGAACTCTATTGTAAGAATTGTTTCTCTTGCCATTATGGGGATTTGCATGTTTAGATTTGTAAAATTGAATCCAACGTATTAATGCTTTGTAGGTATTTTGCAATTATGTGGATTATAGTTTGAGCGGATGGAGAATCTCTCAGATGTAAACGAAGCTCTGCTAAAAAGGTCTTTAGATCCTTCACTTGAGTACCGTCAGAATGGTGTTTTCAAGCGAAGGAGACTTTGCCGGACCAGAAGTGCCCCTCTCGTAGATTACTTGCGTGCAGAAGTAAATGGCAGTGTTTCTAATCAATATTCTGAATCCTTAGATTATACTTTGCGTCCAAGTCTCAAAAAAGTAGCTGCATATTTGTCAATTTATCTTGGTGTTGGCACTATTTGCTTTTATGCGATCAGATATCAGATAAGTGGCAAAAAAACTAATCCTATAGTTGATGCTCTTTATTTCTGTATGGTCACTATGACCACAGTTGGGTACGGAGACCTTGTTCCCAAGAGTTCCCTTGCAAAGCTTCTTGCTTGTGCTTTTGTCTTCTCTGGGATGGCTTTGGGTGGATTGATTCTGAGCAACGGGGCGGATTACCTTGTGGAGAAGCAGGAGGCACTGGTTGTTAGAGCTCTGCACATGCGTAAAAAAATGGGTCCAAGCGACATTATAAAGGAAATCGACGCGCACAAAACTGGGTACAAGTTAGTTTTGGTCCTTGTATTTCTCGCAATACTCTTCATTTCTGGAACAATCTTTTTAAATCTGGTTGAGGGGCTGGATTTCATTGATGCATTTTACTGTGTTTGTGTGACTATTTCTACACTGGGTTATGGAGATCGCAGTTTCTCAACTGAGGGCGGCCGTATATTTGCAGTTTTGTGGATTCTTACAAGCACAATAAATTTAGGTCTGTTCTTTCTTTACATTGCTGAACTCAACACTGAAAAGAGACGAAAAGCCTTAGTCAAGCGTGTCCTTAATCGGCCACTCACTAATGTGGATCTGGAGGCAGCTGACATTGATGAAGATGGAACAGTTGGGTAAGTGTAAAACTTGTCCTTGTCTGTAATGTCATCGATTCTTCGCTATGAACTCCAAAGCTCTAGTTTTTTTCTTTTTTGGCATAAATTTGAGCCACTCTTCTAACTTACGTGCTACGGATTCTGCAGTGCTGCAGAGTTTGTTTTGTATAAGCTGAAAGAGATGGGGAAAATTACTCAAGAAGATATATCACTTGTATTGGAAGAATTTGAGGTGTTGGATATTGATCAATCCGGGACCTTGTCTTTGTCCGACATAACCTTGGCTCAATCTTCTGCTACACAAGTTGCTCTACAAACTTCTGACAAGAAGGCGCCCCCTTAACACGTAAGTAAAGAAATATGTTAATATTCCCTACACGCTTAAAACAACAACAAACCTAGTAAAATCCCACAAAAGTAGGACCCGGGGAGGGTGTGTGTGCCCTTACCTTACTCATATTCGAAAGTGGAGAGTCTCTTTCCAAAAGACCCCCAGCTCATGCACAACCTTACATGCTAAAGAACACTTCCAAACTACTCCTTAAGAAGTTTGGGTATATTATCAAGTCTGGCACATTTGTATTGTTGTATTATCAAGTACACGAGGTTAATAAAAAAATATCCTCTAGACCTACAAAATAAGGGTAGAAATTTACTATTTATGCGAGGGAGATTAGAGGTACCCCTCTTCGACCTTGTTTGGTATCACTGATTGTTTAACCGTCCCTTGTTAAATTGCAGAGTTGCAAGTATTTCGGAGTTCAGTCGGAGTAAATAATGATTGCAGGTATTCTTGTTTTTGAACTCAGTGGTCTGCAAAATGCATAACTAGGGTTATATTTCAGCCGAGAAGAGATCTACATCCCCCCCCAAATGAACTACTCCCTAAATAAGTATGGGTTTGGCTTGTACCAGTTTTTTTTTCTTTTTTTATTAATTTTATAATGTTAGAAGGTGTATATGAATCTTTAAAGCATCTAAAGTCGATGAAAGCAATCGTTACATTAATTCTGCCAACTTGCTGTAGAAATCTTTGTATGAAAAACACTGCGGAGCAGTGTTGATGAAGAACTCGATAGTATAATGAATTGCGTAAAAACACTTTCAGATCAAAGTTATTTCGGGGTATACGAAATACTTCAATCGGATAAGACGTTAATCAACAACAAGCACTCGAAATCCGATTCTCAACCCATACCAGGAGACTCTATTTTATAGAATCGAAAAATTCATGATCGGACATGAATGTTCGCGTAGACGCGTACATACGCGCGGAGAAGAAGAAATGTGCGAGAAAAAGATCCTGCGGTTTTGGAGTCAAATTCGACGTTATCCCGCTGTGTATTTATAATATCGTTGAACGAGTGCGCATCTGCGCCTCCTAACTCGTTTGGCAACGTCTATTTAAATTCTTGTCCGATCTAAGTAAATCCAATCACGCAAAATAACCGATGATACTAGAATCACCAACACTTGCCGAGGTTGCAATTTTCATTGGGACGGATAGTTTAGTACAAATATATGAATCTAATTACGATATCATTTAAACCTTCTCCATTGCAAAATAAAATTTATTTAAAACAAATTACATAGTTTGATTTCATAAAAAATAAAAAAAGTGTTGAATGGTAAAAAGTTTTTAAATATAATTTGTTTAAAAGGAAGAAAAATGATTTGAGCCACACATTTCATTCTTCAAAAGAAAACTGTGAGAACTCGAGATTTGTGAAAAATTATTTTGAGACGAATTAAACATGGAGTTTTATTTGAAGGGTGGAAATATTTCGTGTTTTGATCGAAATTGAGCATTCAATTTTTTTATAAAATTATGAAATATTGAATTGTAATACCACCGTTTTGAGTTGTTTTTTGTAAAATTATTAAGTGGATAGTGGGAGAACTAATTTGATAATTCTAGTTAGCTCCATTATTCATCTGAGAATAGTACCGAGTATATGAATATGTGGTCAGATGTTGGGTGAAACTTGGGTCCCTATAGGTTGAAGAGAATGGTGGGTTGAAGACGGTAAGTATATATGGGGTGAGTGTGGGGAACGACTGGGAAGCCATACCCAAATTAAACAATGGAAACTGAAAAAGATTAGCAAATTCTTGGGTGCACTCGAGATGCATGATACATTTGGTGTACCTACAAATTAGTGAAATAAGTAAATGTTTAGTGGTATGATGATCATTTTTTTTCTTTTAAAAAAATAATACTCCCTCCGTCCTATAATGATCTTCCTGGTTCGCAAAACGAAGAAAAATCCCAAGTTTTTTCAATCTATTTTATTTAAATATTGGTATAGAAATAAAAAATAAAACATACATATTTAAAAACTACATCAAAAGTTCAACAAAACAAGTGGTGACAAGAATATTTTATTTTATCATATAGGCCATGAAAAAATACAAATAAATATAAATTCCCGTGAAGTTGGAATAGTGGTCTGGGAAGATCATTATAGGACATTGTGTAGATCTTAAGACCACCATAGAAACATTCAACTTTTTTCCTTTTAAAAATGTAGACCCAAAATGGAATTCATTTATACTCCATCCATATCATTCTCTATTGTAGATAGAAAAGATGAGAGTAAATTTTATAATTGGTTCTTTATAACAAGAGAATTTCTATATTCAGTCATTTATTATCAAATATTATGTCGTGATACTTCTTTTATGAGTACCTTTTCATAAATAGTCTTTTCTACCTTCTATCACGCTGATATTAATTTTAGGGCTAAAAATGTAATTTGACATCAATCCTATATTCAGTGACGTATTCTGATGTCGATTAGATGGATAATGCGATAATAATGACTATGACTATGATCTACGGATCTGACAGATGACTATATCCGTAAACTGTGGTTGTAGTAAAAAGCGACTCTAGTTTACGAACAACAAATCAAGAGCGGCCTTTGGATTGTGTATGACAAGTAAGATATATGATTATTGTAAAATTATACTTTTAGCTCCCAGAATAACATTGACATGATAGAAGATCAAAAAAAGATTATTTCTGGAAAGATACACATAAAAGCACCACATTTATAATATTTGATAATAAAGGACCAAAAAGAGAAATCCTGCCATTATACAGGACCAATTATAGAATTTACTCAAAAAATGAAGTTCAACTTCAGGCCAAATAGCGCCGGTACCCCTCGTGGGTTGCAAAACAGACACCAATACCCCTTTTGTTTTCAAAACGTATTTCTAAAGTCCATGTGGTTTCAAAATGTTGCACCCGTGCCCCCTATGATCATTTTTTGGCCATTTTTCTGGCGAAGAAGAGGGGCATTGGTGCATATTTTTTAAACAATAAGGGGTATCAGTGCTGATTTTTATTTCTCGCTTATTTTTTGTTTTTTCTAATTTTTCCTTTTTTGTTTCATTTATTAATAAAGGTTTTTTAAAATTATTTTTATAATGTTCTTAAAATTTGAAGTTATTTTTGTTTGAAAAAATTAACTTATAATGCATATGTATGTCTCAAATTAACAATTTTTGTTTTTTCTAAAAAAAAGTAATTTTTTTTAGAACTTCAAAAAAATGAGGAATAAAATTAGGCAGCAAGTAGTACACAAATAAAAATGAATATCCTATTTGTACACATCAATTCTAAGGACTTTTCTAGACATGTTTAATTTTTTTTGTATAAGACTTTCTTTGCGTATTTTATTTTTTTTCATTTCTTTTTTCCATTTTTTTTCCATTTAACTAATTAAAAACAAAATACATTTTATTAATTTAAAAATTAAATGCATTTCATTAATTAAAAAAATACAACATTTTATTTAAAAACTAATAGTCCAGAATTATTTAAAAAACTGTAGGATTTTAAATAAAAACCCTAAAACTCGTGGCCACCCATAAAACGCACCAAAATAAAGGCAGCAAGCATTACACCTAAAAAATCCGCATCAAGCAAAGCAAACAATTTAGTGCAAATTATATGGTACAACCGGATATACCGTACATCATGACAAACTCGTAATTAAAAAATATTTTAGAATAAATATTATATTATTTCACAATAAATATTATGTTGTTTCAGAATAAATACACTACGCTGAGCATGCATGGAATGGGTACTACATTGCTTCATTAATGAACACTAAGTTGATTCAAAATAAATATTTACTAAGGTCCCGTTTGATACACAGAATTCAAATTATAGAATTGGAATTGAGAACTTCAATTCCAATTCTGGTGTTTGGCAGCACAAATATTATGTGGATTTGGAATTGATAGTGCAAAAAATGAATTGAAATTGGTGAATTCAATTCTATGGAATTGAATCCCATATAATTTCAATTCCAATTCAGTTCCAATTCCATCAATTTCTTATACCAAACGGACCCTAAATGTACCTACCTACATACACCCGGATTTACAATATAGGCTCTCTCACACTGTACTCACGCCCAGTACAAGAAATCAAAATTCCTACTCGCATTCCCTACTCGAACTGCCTGTGGCGGTGTACTCCTTCTATTCGGGCAAGGCGCCCTCTCCTCCCCCTAGGGTGCTTGTAATGGTGGCTTTAGAATCCAATTTTAAAATTACAAAGCTAGCTTCAACCATTACTAAATGGTGAGTTGACACTTTTTTTTATAAAGCGAGTTCTCCGAAATCAAAGTTCGGGTTTTGGAGAAGCTTCAATTTTTTTTATCACTTTTGCAATTCTATTTTTTTTTAAATTTTTTTGTGATTAAATCTATATACATATTTTGTTTAATTTATTTAAACAATTTTTTTTATTAATTTGATTATATATGATAATTTATTTTGATTGTTTTTATTAAATGTAAATGGTTTGTTATAGTTGGGTTTGTAGACTTATTGTTATAGGAATAAGTTTAAAGAAGTTGCTGAGTTTAAATTTTTGAGATGGCACTCAATATTAGAGTTGCTTTTCTGGGTTTATTGTTACCACCACATTTATATTGCATTTATTGCAATGACAAAAAAATTGAGTAAGGACAATATTTGTGTAATGCTATTGTGACTGTCTTCTTTTAGAACACAATTACTGACTACTATAACAAAATCAATAATCAAGGATCATATTTTTCAAGAACAAGAAGCATCATGGTAGATATTGTTAAAGATCAAGGGACTTTAAGATATGTATCATGAAAATTTGTTCTGAACATTTACATTACGTGATCAAAATTTTATCATTACAAACCTGGGATACACTACAAGGTACCTACTGTGCAACTACACATGGACTTTCGTTGTTCGATAAATTACAAAATACAGATTAACAAGTGCATTATTGCTAGAACAAGCCGAATTGTAACTGACCTTTCATGGAACTGTTCTGTATGGCCTTTGGGTTGCTCTGGTCATGATGAGAAGCAATATTTTGGACTTCAAAGTTGCAGAATTCAGGCACTTGGGGTGGAGTGGCACACCGTATAAGTGCCCAGTTCAGGCCATCAAAGAAAGGGTGTCGCTTAATCTCAGCTGCTCCAATTTCAGATCCTAATCGACTCTTTGGGTCCTTAACCAGAAGCCCTCTGATCAAATCTCGTGCTTGAAAACTGACAATGGGGCTGTCAGGGAACTTAAGGTTCTGCAACACCACATTGTTCAGGGTTTGATCAACTCCTCCCCCTTTAAACGGTGTCTTCCCATAAAGAAGTTCATAAAGAAAAACACCCAGTGTCCACCAATCAACCGCACTCCCATGGCCTTCGCCTTTGATGATCTCTGGAGCCAAATACTCGTGTGTGCCAACAAAAGAGTTAGACCTAGCCTCAGTTGGCTCCACAACTACTTGTGGCAAAGACGAAGCCTCTTCCACTCTTAGCTTAATTGACCTTGGAGTGGGAGGCCGGTTCCATGGAGTAAAGCATGAGGCTTTACATGATGGTCCGGCACAGAAAGGGTCAATGCATTTGGATCCGGCACAGGGACCAGAGATCCTGGCAGGATCTAGGGCCGGTGAAGGTGATGGTTTTAGAAGAGTAGCATTAACAGAACATCTAAGGGACAAATCAAAATCCGTGAGCATTATGTGGCCATCTTCACGCACCATAATGTTTTCGGGCTTCAAATCACGGTACACTACACCGAGCATATGCAAATACTCTAGAGCAAGGAGGACTTCCGCAACATAAAATCTGCAAGGGTTAAGATTATCAAGTCATAATGTTTTAAGACTTGGGATTCCATACTAAATTTGAACATGATAGGAGAAGTTATTACTTAGTTCTTACTATGCTGTGATACAATGATAAGACTTCGGATTGCATCCTAAAAGGTCAAAGCTGATATGGGGAATAACCTAGGACCTTGAAAGGTTGGTCTGCTATTTTTATTCTTTACTCTCCAATGTCAAAGTTGATATATTCTAACACAAGTGTTGCAATTTAACTAAAAACTAATGAACTATAAGATTGAAGCAGAAGCACACAGTATACCTTGCTGCTGGTTCAAGAAAATATCTTCCAGGCTGCCTTTGCCGGAGCACATGAAGATCGCCACCTGGACAGAATTCCATAACCAAACAGGATAAATTATCTGACGTAAACTGTGCATACAATGTAGGGAGAAAGGGATGGTCTAGTATGCTTAAGATCTCTCTTTCAGTTTGTGCTCTAGCCAGCTTCTTCCTTCTGGCCAAGAATTCATTATCCATAACCTTAATTGCAAACATGCAGCTTGTTTCAATCAGCTCAGCAAGATACACAGTACCAATATCTCCACAGCCAAGCTTCTTCAATAGATTGAAATGACCCAAACCTAAAAACCCATGATGTTTCTTCATCATGTTGATGGTCTTCCATCTTGTATCCTTGGACATGTGTGGCTTTGTTCCACAACTGGACCCACTCATATTGCTCTCTTCACTGACAGTAGTGCTACAGCTGTAGTCACCAATGCTACTCTTTGAGCTCTGGGAAAAATCACCTCTTAATTTTGAGATCTTGTTGAATTTCGAAACAGGATTAACACAAAGCCCAGGTTTATCGGAGCAAGTATTTACTTCGGTAGGGAGATAAGCAGAAGCCACCAGGGTATGAAGCTTATTGCTAGACTCGTCTTTCTTGTCCTTCAATTCAGACTGACATCTCTTGCAGATAGCTCTGCCATCTTCTGAGAGATTGGGATCATCTGAAAGTTGTTTAAGTTCCTGGTTTGCTTTTGCTTTGGGCAGTTTTTTGTTCCTGAAAGTTGGTTTTGCCGCATGGGATGTGCTTCTTGTTGACCTCACATCCTTGCAGCTCTTTACTGCATTAGTTAAAGGTATACCTTTCCGTCTGAGTTTATGCATTTTATTAATCGAGGGGCTACCACGTCTAGATAGATTGCTTGTTCCCTTGCTCAGGCCAGAAGAGCACTCATCTTTCTCTGCCAAACCACAAACAGAGGTGCACGAAGGTACTGAACTTGTTTGGTCTTCTGCTTCATCATCAACTGTAGTGGACTCTATACTCTTGGAAACAAGTTTCTTCAAAGGTTGAGGGGAGGGAACATTTTGTTGGTTGGGAGGATTTTTCTGGGGATCTTCAAATGAACTTGAAACACTTCCTTCTCCAACTACACTCTCATCTTGCGGGATGACACCTACCGCAATCTTAGAAATCGCTTTGCCCAAAAACTGAGGAGAAGAGAGAACGTTCTGGTCTGGTGACTTAACATTGGGCTCTTGGAGATGATGAGGAACCTTTTGAAAAGCATTGGAAGTGGTTTCAGCTGGCACTATTTTATTACTATTACTTCTATGACTACTGGCCGGTCTAAGTATATATCTAGGAGAAGATTGGGCACTACGGCTTAATGATCTTGAGGTGGACGCTTGAAGGTGGAGAGGAACCTTAGAAGGAAAACTAGAAGTTCCCTCTTCGGGCACTGCAGATATTCCTTCAGACCTATAAGAGAACCTGGGAGAACCTGGGAGCTTTGATAACCTTTTCATGGCAGCCACTTCTGCTGCCTGAGAAATGCATAATCCCCGGAGTGCCTGTTTTATAGAGACAGGGTCAGAGAACCCTATTCCCTGTGATGAATTAGGTCCCCTCATTGGCCTTTTTGAGGCATCTCTTCTCACCCTATCAGACAAATCCAAACTCGTTGATGCCCGGAGATTAATTGCCTCAAATAGCTGGTTGATATCATCATCCAAATACTTGTTCGCTGGTTTTTTCATCACTGGAGGCTTCCATCCGTCTCTTTCGGCAGGTCTTGCATTACCAAACTTTTCATTTGGTAGAACTGGGTTTAACTCATCTTTTGTTTCGACAATTTCAGAGTTATATTTAAATGACTTCATCATGCGGCAACGAAACAAACCAATTTGAAAGGAACTCAACACCTCAAAGTTGAAGCTTAATAAACATAGCAATTCTATATCACGTGATCCTGATTCGCACCAACATCATCAAACCTGCAAACACATCTGACATTTTTTAATCCACATGAATCAACACACAGATCATATATACACATTGTGAAGACTTGAGACTTGGGTTCCATCTCTGGTATCATATTTGGATTTTCAATCTTTAAAAACCGGAGTAAATGCTGCTTTATACTCTCGCCGTCCTACATTATTTGTCCAGTTTCACCTTTTTTAGCCAAAATGGACAAACTTTCATTCAATAACATAAAACGCGTATTGCAAATTAATACGACGAAATGATTTTTTGAAAAGTTGCTGCAAGATAATGCTAATGAAATTAATTTTGTACTAATATATGATGAAATTTTCATTTAATTGAGAGTTTGATTCAAAAAAGTAAAACATGACAGTATTCTGCGCGTCTGGGACTGAGGTAGCATGTTAGTTTGTATAGTTATATTCATTTGATGTTGAATTTATCCCAAAAGAGAGAACTTAACTACTTTTAGTACAAGTCTAGATGCATATTTATGCAGTCATGCATTGAACACAAAGCCAACTACATGCATTTTTTATATTGAAAAATACCCATATCAGAGTGAAATTTCCTTGTGGCATATCATAAACCGCCCCGGTTAAAATTACACCGGCCAATTTGAGGCCCGTATGGTGTTCCATTAGATCCCAAAGTGGTTCGTATCCCTTCTAAGTTCTAACCCCCCAATAAACCCTCCACCCTGCTCTAACCCAAACCCACCCCTTCCAAATGCACCCCCGAATTTAGTTGACTTTGGATGAAAAATATTGACCTCAAAGTCAACCAAATTTGGGGGTGCAATTGAAAGGTGTGTCGTTTCGGCTCGGTCCGGGTGGGGGGTTTACCAGGGTTAGCAGATAGAAACCACTTCGGGTTGAACGGAGCACCATAAAAGTTTCAAATTGATGCGGTGTGATAATATGACACCACACCTTGGTGTCAAAATAACCAAGGTAATCATAAATAATTATTGAACAAAGGGTACCCTTGAACAAAACCTTCCTAACCATAAGTTTTTCTACAAATAAAGGATCTTCAATATAACAATTGTAATCGTATTCATAAAAAAAACCGTGTATGATGAACTGGACAAGATCTTGATCTTCCCAAAAAAATATCCAAAAAAAAATAAAAATAATCCAAAGTTCTACCACAAATTTTCTTCATTGTTTCATAAAAATTAAAAACCGAGTGGTAAAAAATAATTGTACATATTTAAGTTCACTTTCATCATTTTATGCAAAACCTTATATTCCATATCTGATGGTCAACTGGCTTCATAGCAGGAATCATAAGATCGATTAGAAATCCTTCATTATTACTGCGGCCCCTGCAGTAAATCCAAAGATTAAAAGTCCAAATCACGAAGCAAGAAGTTGGTAAATAAAGTAAAAATGGTAGTTAAACCTAGAGAAACGTCGCAGATTTAGAAACCCAAATGCACACAAAAGTCTAAAAGCAAAATCGAGGAAGGATACAAAAAGCAAAGCGAATCAGGCAAAGAAAAAACGATGACTGAGCAGCTAGAAAAAAGGCTCAAGAATATGGAGAAAAGACATCATTAACTAAACAGAAAGAGTAGATCAAAGAAAATAATGGAAAATGCTGGATATACCTCAGTATTATTTTATTTAAAAAATAAAAAATAAATAGAGAGGAGTGCTCTGCAGATCGGAGAGATGAGTTGAAAAATTATATGAAGAAGAAAGTGTGGATGATGGTACTTACACTCTATAATTGAGTGGAAATGAGCTTGCACTTGCCTGTGATTCTCAAGACGAAGAAATGGAGGACAGAGATGGGAAATATGAGATCATTCCCAAACTTCTTCATTGCTTTCTTTCTAAACTCCTCTGTTTTCTTTTGATTGTATTTTTTGGGGAATTGGGGTCCACCGCAATTGTGTAGGCATAGCCATAGCCCCCCACATGCGTCTTTGGATTCGAATTTTGCATCTTCATACTCCGTATTCATTATTCATATCATACCAGCAGAGATGTACTTTTAGACCTATCTTTTGATATTGGTCGTAAGAATAGAGTTTGATACTTGGTACTCCGTATTACTTCCTCCGTCCCTAAATATTTGCCACATTTGTATTCCCGAGACAAAATATCAACTTTTTTCAATTCATTTTATTTACATATTGGTATAGAAATAAAAAATAAAATTTACATATCAAAAAACTACATGAAAAGTTCTTCGAAATAAGAGGTGTCAAGAATATTTTATTTTATCAAATAACCAATGAAAACATAGAAATAAACAAAAGTTCCCGCAATTGCTGAAAAAGCAAACGTTGCAAATAATTTGGGACGGAGGGAGTAATTAGAAAATTAGAAAGAGTTAGAAATAGTTGGAAAAATTAAAAAGAATCAGAAATAGATGGAGAAAAGTAAAGTGTTAAAAATATATTCCATTAAATAATCATCCAAATATGTAACATCATGACCTGTATAACTCGAACACATGTGTCAGTGAATCGGGTTGCCACCAAATTCGAATCCAAACACATAATATTTTAAAGATTTTCAAAACATCGATTCCAACTTGAATAAAGACATCCTTCAAAGTAATTTAAAACCATACAGAAGCTCAAGTCAATATTCGAAATATAACTTCGGAATCAAGTCCTAAAAGAAATATGTCAATTTTCAAATTAATAAAAACTCTAAATAAACAATTACTACCACGCACATTTCCTTGTCCTCATTGCCTACGGGATAAGGTCCAGATTCATCTTAACTCTGATTACTTGCGTGTAGCAAAACAAATCCGCTACATACTCAACAATGACACTGAGTAAGAAATATCAAACATTCAATTATACATATAAATGAACTCACTAGTTCATCCTAAAGATCGTATGATATCATACACATAAGCACAACACAACAACATCACAACATTTCATAATGGTATTCAACATTACCAAATATAAGTATATCAATGTTATTGCGTTAGTCTCTTGACTTATATCCTTTCAGGCTCATAACTTATTCTAGGTTAAGTCTTATTTATAACTTTTTTATGGAGTTGTGATCTTCCCATTCAGAATGAATGTCAAGCTCAAACCAACTTCGGATTTCCTCATTGGGTGGGTGAGATCCATGTCCCCTTCGGAGCGACAGTTCATACATCCCCATTTGTTTGGATTACACGGGTTGCAGTGTTACATGCTCCCCTTATTGGCTCATAGGTTGCTATTCGGGTCAGAGTCTGTCTTGCCAATTAAACACGTACATTTGGCTCGTTACAATAATAATCTTCACGATATAATAATCTTCTCGATACATTGAGCTCGTTCATTCAATTTTCAAATTTTTTTGACCTTTCCCAACTCCTAATTTTCTTTCACGATACCTTCGCACCTCTGTGATTTGTTCCTCCTATGTCGCACCTCTGTTGGAATTCCCACATTGAAAAATAAAGAAGAATACCACTAGCATATATAGAAAGATATATGAAGCCCTACCTATTAGCTTAAGCTTTTGGGTTAGAATGGTAGATCCTGACTTTAAATGCAAGTGGTTAATTTTACCCGAGACTCCACCCGTTATTCTTGGCCCATCAAAGTTTTAACATGGTATCGGAGCAGCTCCCGTCCGGGTTTGATTGTTCCTGGTTGTTTAGATGTGGGTTTAGCAAAATGAGCTATCCGTCTGTAGTTTAGGTTGAGTTGGCTATAAGAGAATGAGAAGCCACCACATGTTGTGTGGCTAGCTGAAAGAGATTGAGATGTTAGACTCGTTTGTCCACGTGATAACTAGACCAGACTAGTTAACACTTGAGGGGGAGTGTTGGAGTTCACACATCAAAAAATAAAGAAGAATTGTAACACCCTAATCCGTCCAGATCTGCAGCCCCTTTCGAACTAAAGTATTAATTTGGTAATCGTAAAAAAGTAAACATTTCAAACACTTTTATTTATCAAAATAATATTTTTGCATAACGTAATAGTACGAAGTTTTCGATATTGCGGAAGCTTAACAAATCATAATCACAAACGTAATTTATTTATGTATTTCAATTCAAAACCATCACATCCATTCCGACAATCGCGCCTCCTTCTACCTCCAGGATAACGTCACATCACTCTTTCTATTAACCTGCGTGTAGCAAATAAAACATACTACATGCTTAGCGGTAAAGATGAGTAAGCATATCTAATGCGTCAAACATCCATATAAATTGAATCTTTATTCATAATCAAATCAATTGATATCATGAACATAATATTCAGTTCAGATATTCAATAATCAATATTCAACCTTCAGCATTCATATTCAACATTCAACAATATCCTTAAACTATTCATAGTCTAAGGCCAATCTCTTTAATGTTTACCAACTCTAAACGAATTCTAGTTTAAGTTAATTAAACTATATTCCAGTTTAAGGTAATCCTAAATAATCCTTGAGCTAGGCCTTAAACTTACCTTTTCTTAAGGCCAACCAGAAACCGACAGCGTAGTGTTCACTGTTGGGTTGGGTGGTACTCCCAAACGAGTAAGTACTCAAGTTTGGTTCTTGGATCCCGTACGTACGTTTTAACCCAGGCCACCAAATATTCATAATTATACCCGCAAGACCTATTTCTAAGCTATCTTAGAGTCTTCTAGATAGTCTTAGAAACCAACGTCAAACTAGGTATATCTTAGACTTCTTCTAGATATCCTTACAATCCAAATCATTTCATAATCATCGATATATTCATTTCAAATCATAGTTTAAATCATTCACAATAATCATTTTAATCAGTAGACTCATCATCAATACATCATAGTCATCAATAACAATTAGCGACCTAACGTCGAGTGTTAACACCCTAGCTTACCGTCATGCATCAAGTAAGATCCTCTTAGTTGTCAAAACATCATTTTTATTCCAAGAGATTATCTTTATATTAATCATAATCGATTGGTATCAAAAATAGGATTCAATAGTTTAAAAATTGGGTTTTGGGGAAAAATATTAGTTTCTAGACGGTACCCAGTACAGTACCTCGATACCGTGTCACGGTACCTTGGTACCGACCGCCACCAGCCATCGTGAGAGAAGCGCAGCGAAACGGTAGAGAGTGTACCGTTTGGACGGTATAGCCTACCATGCCGGCGGTAGTTTGTTACCGTCCGGGCGGTAGGGTGATACCATACTGTGCGTAATTTTGAATAGTGTCATCCTCAACCTCGGGCCAAGTTTTGGAAATTCCATGTTTAGTCACCAAACTTCAATTAAACTATATAGAAATGTTCTCCAATGTTCATAAATCATTTTGGTATCATTAGTTCATAGTTTTAACATCAAATTCGAGGTTTATTATTCTGGGTTCTTCAAGCATGTCAAACACAAAACTCAACCAAAAGACCGTTTATGAACGTAAAAACGATCTATACGAACATTCTAGCCATTAGATATATCTACGGGCTTACCTCAAAACTAAATGATGATTTCGACGATTTAGCGGCGAAACTTCCGGCGAAAACCACGGCTTGCTCCGGTGACTTCGACGACAACCCACAACAGCAGACTGCTTTCCTTACTCTCAAGATTCTTATGGACTAATTTTCATAAAGAATGGTGTAGAAATAGAGGAAATGAATTCTCCTTATATAGAAAGAAAAAGGAAGAAACTGTTAAGGATTTCAAGATCGCAGACGGCTCAGTGCGCTAGGCTGCGATTTGGTTCGATTATACACGTTGTTCCTTGATTGGGACTAATTTGGTCCCAGTCGGGGTATACTTTTGGTCCAACTTTCTCTGAATTGAATTCTGGTTGCACCGCTGCGATTTGTAATACTTTTTCCAAAATCATATTTTTGGGTGTTTGACTTTGACAGAGTGAAAATTGGTTTAATTAACCTTTATAAAAAAAGGTTCTCACATTTAATTTATTCTAATGGTTTATTTCAAGAATACATTTCAAAGTTCACTTAATAAAAAAATTCTCTATCTATTCTTAATTTGGGTTTGTACTCAGGTTCCCAATCAAGATCACACAATAAATCAACATGTTGGATTTATTCCTATGAGATTTATCCCAATTATGTTTATTGGATATCAATACATATTTTATTTCGTCTCAAAGCCCAACAACAATTTATTTTAATCAAAGCAAATTTGATTAATTTGAATAATTATCCATTAAGAATTCTAGGTATGTTTTGGGGCATTACAAGAACACCACTACCATATGATGGTATAAATTACATGACCGGTCAAACTATACTAGACCGGGTCTAGAATAGTTTGCTTGATTTGGCAAAGTAAGAAAGGTAAAAACACGCAGATTGACCGGTAGGACTTTAGGTGGAACACCTGTAGCCCAATTTATATTATAACGGAGAATGCACGGATGCTTTTACAGGGGAGCTTAGAGAGAATGAATTCGGATCCCCTTCCTCGAGGGTTACAAGAGGTATATATACTAAGCTGGGGGGACAGGACCACGTGCGCCCATGTGGGGGCACGCTGCTGATGTGGTGCGAGATGACTGTCCTTGAGCCACCTTGTCATCTTGCGAGGGGGATTACCCCCCTTGTCGCGTTCTGGCTTGGAAATATTCCTCTAGCATCTCCACTGAGTCCCCAGCAATGCCAACCACTACAGTCCAAGTCCTTTTGGACTCTTCGTGCCGACACTTTCCAATAATTAAAACCTGCACCGGTTGGTTCTTGAGGGTTGGATCTGCTAACTTCGAACGATGAATTAGACCCC